TCGCGCGTTCACTCACTGTGCCGGCACGGGCGTGCCCCCCCCGCCCCCCCCCCCCCCCCCCCCCCCCCCCCCGAGTCAAGCGGACGCCTCTTGCACGTTTATTTATAAAACAAATGTCTCGTGCAATCCCGTGTCCTACAGCCACGACGAGCAGCCTTTCAGAATCGTATTACGATTTTATCACCGACTAACACATTGTGTCAGGTTCACGCAAATTTCGAAAACCGCGCACAATCCAACGCGTAAGGAAGCTCACTGATATTTGTCATTTTGAATGCTTTTTTGGTCGTTTCTGTACCACGTTTAGTTACACAATTGCATGACCAACGTGGCATAGGGCAGCCTTCATCCGCTTGTGGATTTGCAAAATGGCTGTGCATTGTTTTTATTTAAGTTTGTTTGGATGTCATCTTTGTCTCTGGTTATCGTTTCACGCTCATTTACTCTACCTAGTTGTTCTTTTTTACCCACAATGCTCCACCCAGGGCATTGCTGGTAGTCCCACACATCTTTTTTTTTGCGTCGTTCACTGTGATTTATAGCCTCCACAAGAGAAAGAAAAAAAGACGTGTTAAAATTTTAGTTTTTTTAGGATTTTTGTTTTTCAAAATTAGACAGCGGGTACCAGTAAAGTGTGCCAGGGTCACTCCCCACCAATGTTATTGTCACATCTAGGTCACCATCTCCACTACAGTTCACAAGCGCTGCGTAATATTTCTGTTCGGAAATTACCTGGGATATTGTACAACGTCTTGACTTCTGATCAATTATCCGTAACCTAACTCAATGGCGAGTGCCCTATTAGGCACTATAGCCGTGCGTTGCTATCCATGCCTGGCTATCAAATACGCATGTGCGACACAAAGGAAGTGGTAGGTGGGGGTAGCTCGGAATATGGAAATAAAACTCTTTGTCCGCATTAAAGAGAAACACGTGCGGAAAGCATGTCTTGGCACTGCATATAACTGGGACACGGTTTTTGCAGAGTTAACAGTTCAGCAGAGGCGTTTCTTACATGCCATTCAACGGGAAGCAGCTCCACATTCGGTTCAGATTTTACGGAAACGAACTTTGAATAAATAACTCGCAGCCAGGGAATTCTTTTTTTTTTTCCCCCCAGTATAACGTTTCCGTGTGTGTGTCTACGGCTGCCCGTGGTGCTGAGGCGACGTGCCGAGACACGTTTCTGGGAACAATGAGGTCATGTCTCGTGGCCGGGCCTTGCAAATGTAAAATGAGATTAAGCAATAAAAGCGGAACGTCAGATTTCATTGAAGTCGCATTATGTAGACTGATCTGCTCGAATTTTGCTCATCAGGCGTAGCTTCGCCTGTGGTGTAAAATTGTGTATCTCGTGAGGATTATACCGAATGTCAGAGCGGCGTTTCTCAACTCGTTAGACCAGGTTTTTGCCAGTGTTATGTGGAAATGGATTTGCAGTGTTTTTTTTTATCGAGCAGGCCAATGGCTATTCTCTTCTTGCATACAATGGCAAAATGGTCAGGAGCTATGAATGCCGACGTGGAGGACTTCTCGCCACCAGGGTGTTTTAAGCGAGAGTTCGCATAGATCTGCTTTGCCTCCTGTGACGAAGCAGAGAACACAGTGGTTTACTATGTGGTCTGTAGTTTGGGTTTGCATGGCCACAATTTACACGATGGCCTGTCTTTAATCTCCATTCTTAAAGCAAATTAGGCCAACGAGATAGAATTTGTTAGAATTGCCCAATGTTGATGTTGGCGAACGATGGACCACATGTCAGGAATGGAAATATTGTGCAGGCACTTCACAGCCCATGCTGGTTTGTGCAACGTTTGATGTTTTACATGTTGTGAGAGTTGCTCCATTAAAAATCCTTGTAGTTGGTTTAAGAGGAGGCTTTTGTAACTTCTTATTCAAAATTAAATTTATTCAGGAACAAAAGTAATAAAACAAATGTCCTGGTACCTTTTACTACTGCCAGATGCTTATATTAATTAGCCTTGAGTCTCGTAAGGCACAAAAAGCCAGTGGTTTTTTTTAATGATCTGTAGCTTGAAATTTTAATTTCAAAGACTGTGATTGCAAGTTTTCTGCTGGAATTAAATGTTTTGTTACTGACTGCGAGACTAAGCTGGTTCATTCAGACATATTCCGGAATTAATTTGAACAATTATGGCAATATGATATATAAATAAATAAACGTTACTCTATCTGATCCATACAACCTTGTACATGTTTATTTATATATACCATATTCAGAAATGTATTGTAACTGCATGAAAAATGACAATGTGGTCTTGGACAGATGGTAACATTTGTATAAACAGTTGGTGTGTGTGTAGAGGACAATTAGCACATTAGGAAACTGAACACATTAAACAAACGAATCCTTATGGGTAACAAACAGTTTCTTACAAATGTTTCCTTAACTATTACAATCCATCTCTTTTATTGTATCTTTCTTTGTTCAAAAGGCCCAATGCCCAGAATGTCAGTTGTACATTTTCCTTTATTCAACACGTAGGCTTACACGACCAATATAATTCATGATAAAAAAAAATGTGGGTTAGATCGTGTGAATGTGAGTGTGTCATACACCCACCTCCACCCGACAAGCAGCCAAATAGCAAGGTTTGTCACTTGAACAAGATGTGCCAATGTGTTAAGACTTCAGCACCACCGGTGTGTTCAAGAGCAAACCCGAGGCATTTACGATTTGAGTGGACGCTGTAATTGGCGGCAAAACGTCATTGGCGGTGGCTCTCACCGCCCTGGCTGCTACCATCCAGCTTGGCTGTGGTTCCTCTGTGATTGTCAGACGCAGTTTGCATGAATGAGGACATGATATTAAACGAAACATAATTATAATAGGGAGGCAACTGTCCGCCGGTGAGCAAGAGACCGAGAGTGAATTGGCGAGTGCTAAATTATCAATGCACCTCACTGCTTTACTTTACATTCTATTAAGTACAGTGAGGTGTTCGGATAACAAGGCCTCATTCACCATTGAAAATATACATTTTCTTAGAGACCTTGGATAAAAACAAGAAGAGCAGATTTCTTTGGTTTTGTGGGGCATTTGATAGAGAATTCTGCTTGTTATCGATACCGCGCCTCCGATTGGCACGGTCGGCTATGTACGGTGCAAAAGAAGTTCAACGTACATACGTACAGTGTAAGCTAGCGATGACAGTCGTGCCATTGCATTTTCAGTTTTGTGACTCTGCGACTGCCAACACGGTCTGGGAAATTGTCTTTGAGGCTGAAAATTCAGATAAGTTTTCAGGTTTCAGCAGGGAAGGGAAACATTGAATGTCCAATCCCACAAGACCTGGAGTTACCCATCCCAGGCATAAAATAAAGGAAGATGAAACAAAAAGCCATATATACATTTCAAACTGCAATGCTAATTGATTATGCTGCCGTCGCATGCCCCGTAAAGATATGTGAACAGTCTAAGATATTCTGCTGTCTAAAGGTTGCGTTTAGTCCTGTATTCAAGTGCAAATGCCTTCAGAACAAAGGAATAATGCCACTGCCCGTCCAGGATGATCTGTACAATAAAGCATAATTGACAGCTGGCTAAAGACCAGTATACTTTGCAATGCCCAATATTTTATAAAGAAACCTTAGTTCAATTCCATTAAATTGCACCCTTTTATGTAATTTCAAAGAGCATTTAACCACAGCAGTAAAGGCAAAAGTCTTTGCCGAAATAGTCGAGCGGTTTCAAGTAAATAACGGTCGTTAAAGATGCATTTAAACGCACTCATTTTTGCGTAGCTAGAGCAGCAGCTCTAAGGCACTTTGTGTTTTAGTGACGTTTACCAGGGTCCCGTGAACGATGGGGTCCTGAAAGCGCGCTCAACCCTAGTGCTTTATGACGCGTGGACACCGCGCACACATAAACAGCAGCACGCACCAGTTACCAGCCACGGTCAGAAGAGTCCGTCACCTGCCAACGCTGCTAAATCACGTACTCCAGTTTTGCAGCCTCTTGCCCGTAACACATTAGGGGGACATTTTATGGAAAAATTCATCACCGGAAAACAACATTTTACCGCGAGCAGCTGTGGCAACTTGGTGAAGGCGGTTGCACAGAGCGATTGGAGTTCTGTCGTGCCAACGAAAACAATGTGTGTTGAACCTTGTGCTTGATGAAGAATGGCTTGTCAATAGAACTTACAACCCAGGATAGTCGTGTGACCTCTGTCTGTGAACTCATTGGAAATTGCCATCCCCGGTTGCTCACTCGGGGGACCAGAGGTCACGTTTGTCCAGATTTGAACAACTCATTTTTTTTTACTAAAGGAAAATAAATGGTGCCAAAACCGCTAACGGTGATGATTGCCAGCAACAGTTATGCTAAAGTGGCTCAAGATAGCCTTTAGACAAAAGTAAATGCACCTGCAAGGCTCACAAGTCACCGAAAGATATTACGTAACAATGCAAACTAATTATGCCCGCAGAACTTGATCCTTGTAAACGTCGAAAGTTAACATATCCCATCGGGCTGTCTCCTGGTTGAATAATAGACAATTGAGTCAAGTTATTGTGCATCTGGAGATTGTTTTATAGTCGTGACTTATAAAAAAAAAATGTTTTTTAATACTGTTATGTAATTGACAGATACCTAGTTAATGGATTATTTTCCTATGCATTGCCTCCATTTTTTGTTTTATGCAAAAGTTTGCCTTGGGCTAAAGTTACACTTTTCCAGATGTCATGAAAAATTTGCAACCAATCAGCATGCAAACAAAATAAAGATATCCCTCGCAACGACTAAAGTGTGCGTGAAGTTGCATAATAAAACAATTACTCTCAGACGATTAGGCTCACCCTGCAATTTAGAGATTATTTGTTTCGTTGTGTTTGTAATGATATTTACGTGATCTTTATGATCCATGACACTCAATACTTTTTCTCTTTTATCCTCCCCGACCCTTCTCTATTTTTGCCATCTCCCCCTCACCGAACGCCTCCCCGATCCCCTCCCTCGTCCGCTCCTACCAACACAGGTGCTCCGCTCTCCGTGGTCATCTCGCCCTCGGTGGGAGAGATCAGTGTTGCCGACTCCAAGTTTTTCATGTGCACCGGTAAGTCGCGGGGTTGCATTCCTCAATCTTGACCACCAACGATGTAGCTGGTAGCAGTGGCAAGCCCGAAAATCCCATATCGGTGAAATGAACGCCGCCAATTTTTTGCACGTGGCACAATTCCGTGGACATATGAAACGGTGTAATTGAAATCTCCAGCATGAATTTACCTTTGTCGGGAGCTCTTCGCTATATTGCTCTGGTTTTTACCATTATTATAAAATTCAGACACCAGCGTATTCTAGAAACTTAATATCAGCAGGTTATGTTTAACTCACTCGTGCTTGAATTATTCAAAGCAAAATGCAAAAAAAATGCAGTGTGATTATTGAAGGGATGTGTTGAAAATGTTGAGTATAATTGTGATAGCAGTCTGAATATCAGTATTCCAGTCCACTAAAGTAGGGGTCCCCAACCCTCGGGCCACGGACCGGTACCGGCCCGTGACCTGTTAGGAACCGGGCCGCACAGCAGCAGGAGGTGAGCGGTGAGTCCGCGCGTGGCCCGCCCCCATTATTTTATTATTTACCACTTCCATGCTCGCCTCTTTCCCGCACTGCGCACTTGTCTCAGTCACAGTTTTGGTAAGCCCACAAGCTAACCCTAGCAGCCAAAATGAGTAAAAAAACAAACGTTGCTGGAGAGCTTCTTTTCAAAGGGGGAAAGACCCAATGATGAACCCACCACCACCCCCCCGGTCCATGAAAAAATTGTCTTCCACAAACCGGTCCCTGGTGCCAAAAAGGTTGGGGACCGCTGCTGCACTAAAGGGTCCTCTCGAGTTTGTTAGTAGATGTGGCTTGACAAAGAAATGTGCGCAAGTAAAAAAAACAAAGACCCCACATATAGACTGTTGGGGCAAGTGCTGTTAGCGAGTACCTATGAAGACCGGAATGGCACACGAGGGGGTGGGTGGCCAGCACCACGCCCGGCCGCCTTTGTCTCCCCAATGACGATGTTTACACGCCACGCTAGGTACTCATTTGAGGCTGAGTCGGCCTAAGGGAGGCCCAGGACCGGTTCAGATAATCGTCACTGGTGTTGGTCGTGAGCAATAATCAAACTCGAGTCGCTGGGTTTGTAGTGCAGTGCGCTAACCGCTACACTACCGCTCCCCTCAAGTACACTCACAAACATACGTACACCCACATACCTGCAACTGCATTCACTGCCACTGATCACACTGGAATGGCGCATGACTAATTTCTTATCAATTTCTTTGCATTGTTGCAAGTCTATCCTAAATATATATGTACATTGATGCGAACCGTAGCTGGTAAACAAACCTAGGTTGCCACGTTCATTGCACCAACTGCACCACAACTGTTTTCCCACGTTGCGCACCCAAAATATGAACTAAACTAAAGAGTGACCTTGAATTTGTATTGCTCCAAATGGACATTTCGTAAGACAGCTCGAGAGGAATCGCAATGACGGTGGTGGTGGTGGTGGTGATGATGATGGCGATAATAATGCATGGAAGTCATTTCGCGTATTTATCTTCTCAACATGGGGCCTTGAAGCCTGCTGAATGTGATGGAGGGTGTAATTAAATAGGACCCTAACCTCTGCTTGTCATTTGACTTCAAGAGTCTTTAATAAGGCCATGGGGGGGCGGGGGGGGGGGCAAGGGGAGACGGTGGGTGTGTGCAGCGTTCCTCTCATCATTAATACACATTCGGCTATAAATCAAAAAGTCTCCGCAGTGACCACTACGTTCCGACGCGGTGCTTAAATCATCTGACTGATTGGCAGCCAGCCTTCAATGGAAAAAGGCGACCGCCACTCGCCGTGAAAAATAGCGTCCCGTGGATTTTTTTATGGCCATTGAATTGTCTTATATGTACTGAAAGTAACGTGTGATGAATATGTTGCTGAAAGGGACATTAAGGAAACCTGGAAGGAGTTTGGGGAAGCTTAACCAAGGTGTCTGGCTTAAGCAAAACAAAAAAACTGGATTACTCTCTTCTTGTTAAAGTTTATTTGAATGCATTAGTGTAATTTATACACAGTGCAAGCCCTGCACATATAAATAATTTAATGACCTTATTAAGGCTTGCTTGTTGCCAATATCAGATTTATAGATTTCAAAAATGTTTTCATTTAGCAAAATAGCACTGTTGGAAAATATGGTAACTTGTTAAGTGAAACGGATTCGTAGGGAATGACTAATGGCATGTCGTGTGCACGTGTGTGCGTAATGTGCGTTTGTGGGGAGCCATTGTGTCATGGTCAGTGCACTGCGCTATGAACTCGGCGACCCGAGTTCGATTCCCGCTCATGGCCAACACCAGTGACGAATATCTAAACAGGTTCTGGGCCACCCCTAGGTCGACTTAGCCTCAATTGAGTACCTGGTGCAGTCTGTAAATATCGTCACTAGGGAGATAAAGGCGGCCAGGCGTGGTGTTGGCCACCCACCCCCTCATGTGCCGTACCGGCCTTGATAGGTGCTCACTAACAGCACTTTCCCCAACAATCTGTTAAGGCTACACGGGGGTGCTTTGTCGTTGTGCGTTTGTACGTGTGGGCAGTGATGCTGTGGCAGCCAGCACACCACAGCACAAACCTAGAGGCCTAATTATAATTTGTGGCCATGCACAAGCACCAGTGGCAATTCATACCTGACCCTGGATTGGGCCTTTCCTAGATAAATTCAGACTAAAATAATTGTGGCATACACGCAGTCAGTACAAAGGAAGGTCTGCACAATTTATTTCAAGGTCGCTATCAAAATTTATAGCCTAACCAAACATCAAGGCTTATTTAAATGTGCTTAAAACTAATTTTGGTAGAAGCCATTGATATTTTTTTTTGTTTCCATCAGAACATGAAAGGTCACCTGTCACTCTACGCCCTCGCTGCATTGCGATTGGCCCGTCCCGTTAACGTTAACGATTTTTCAGTAGGAATGGATATGCTCACGTTGGGCTCATCCGCAGTATGCACGAACCGACGCATTAACTAAACCTAATTTCCTCTGCCATGGCCTTGGCAATGACAGAGGAGGAGCATATCTACGGCTCCAGATTGAGTGCGAGCCGCAGAGCCCATTAAATTTGGCAACACGTCTCACCGCTGCACATTCGACCTTGGTTTATCTGACTATGAATTTGGACGTTGCTTAGCACGAACAGTAATGGCCCCCTCCAAAGATTTAGTGTGTGTTTGCGAGCGCATTATTTCAGGTTTAAGTGGGCCATCATATGTAATGGAAACTCACTTAGACGTTGTTATTTAGTGTCCGTTTCGATATAAACACAGGGCACTTAAGATTTAACCGATTCTGATGCCCCCTGCACTTGACTTTGACAGTGCATGACATACGAGAGGTTAAACTGTTGTTGGCGTTGCTCGACTCTCGCGCGTGCGTGTCGGCGATTACGCGGCATTGTTCTTGAGAAACGCGCGCACCTCGCGAAGGTGTGTAAGTGTGCTGCTTAAACCGCGCTGACGCGAGGCGCTAATTGCGCACGCATGCCAGTCGGAGTGCGGTGCCTCGTAATCGCTGCTGCCCCTGGGTCAGTGATGACGAGCGGGCCCTACATCACATTGTAATGATCAAATTGGATGCGAAGTATCGCTAACAGACTGACTCAATATAAATGTATTTTCCATGGGTTTTTTTTTTACAGTAAAATGAATGCTAAGTTCTACACATCCATTCCAATGGCTGTTAATTGTCCACAACAAAACAGCTACTATGCCCACTTTAAATTCCACAACGGTACAAGACAAAATACACTGGCAATGTGGTCCGGCAAACATCTTCGTGCTTACTGGTTTCACAGACATTTCTGCCTGTATGCATACCTGTTCGTTTGACTACCTTACCTAACCGTGTGTTCAACCATCTGTTCTTCTCTTCATTTGTCTGTTTACCTGCCTACCTGTATGCCTGCCTGTCTGTTGACTTATTTGTCTTGCCGTTGGTCTTCCTGCCTGTCTGTTTGACTGCCTTACCTACCACCTGTTCTTCTCTCCCTCCACCTCTTTATGTCTCTCTGCTTGTCTGCCCATCAATATTGCTTTTCCCCGGCTGCCCGTCTGACTCTGTGTACACACCTCCATGCCCGCCTGCCCGTCCGTCCCGTCCGTCTGTCCATCCTTTCCTCCCGCACGCACCTCCGTCTCCCTCCTTGCACACCGTGCAGCGATAACCCTCCGCTGCTCCTGACGCGGTTGTCTGGCTCGACCACCTGAATGTGAAATTGTAGTCGCTGCTCTGCATCTGCGTCAGCCGCACGACAAGAAGAAGAAGAGGAAAACCTCCGTCTACCGACTCGCCCCCCCTTCCGCTAATCTCCGCGCCTCCCCCCCTCCCCAACCCCCGTCCGTCTCTCTCCCACCGCCCTCCCCGCCACCGGCAGTGAGCGGCGACGTCGCGAGCATCGCGTGGTTCGACCCGCGTGGCGTGGCCATCGAGAGCAGCGACCGCGTGTCGGTGTCGAGGCAAGAAAACGAGGTGGCGCTCACCATCTACCGCGTGACCGTCGACGACGCCGGCGTCTACAAGTGCGTCGCCTCCGCCACTGACGGCACCACCGGCGAGGGCACCGTGATCGTCAGCATCTACCGTGAGTGAGCGACGGCCCCCCCCCCCCCTCCGCGGGTGTTCGCCGCCGGCGCGTGCCCCACCACGGTTGTTCCGTGGTTGTTCCACGTTGTTCTGCGGTTGTTTTGTGGATGTTCCGTGGTTGTTCCACGTTGTTCTGCGTTGTGGATGTTCCGTGGTTGTTCCACGTTGTTCTGCGGTTGTTTTGTGGATGTTCCGTGGTTGTTCCACGTTGTTCTGCGGTTGTTTTGTGGATGTTCCGTGGTTGTTCCACGTTGTTCTGCGTTGTGAATGTTCCGTGGTTGTTCCACGGTTGTTTTGTGGTTGTTTTGTGGTTGTTTTGTTGTTGTTTTGTGGTTGTTTTGTGGTTGTTCTGCAGGTTGTTTTTCGTGGTTCGAATCTGGCAGCCGCAGCCCCTGGTTTCAGAAGAATCAGGATCTTGATTTAGACTGCTGGAGGAGGAGGAATCCAATGAGCTGTAAAGATATATTTTTACAGATGTTCGGTATGGGGGGCAGGGGCAGTTCAGTGAGGTTACAACAGCAAATGATACAAAAACATGATAGTAGTGCGACATGGAGACAAAGGTAATCAAGTCGCTAAAAAATGAATCAATGAATAATAAATACATCAATTATATATATCTGCTTTATCAAGCTTGGGCAAGGCAACACAACCAACAAAACCGTCCCAAACCACGCCAAGATAACACACAGTCCCTCAATCAAACGGCACAGGTTAATTCTGTGGTGTGCATGAACAGTAAATGTTCCATGCGCCGTCCGCTTCGCAGTGGGCGTTAAATCGGAATCTTCATACTGCAGGAGGAATCCGATGAGCTGTGAAGCTCTTCTTCACAATTGTCCATAACATCCCATGACATCGTTATCGCGAGAGTGGGCCATTGTGCGCCTGCGGGTGTCATGATCCGTAGCAAACCATCACCCCCCCCCCCCCCCCACTGCGATGGCAGGATGGGTCGTGAGACTGGGCGAGGCCTTCCTGGAAAATTATCTGGAAAATTACTCGATTGGGATTCCACATCGGTGGCCCCCCTACTTTGAAAACGTATTCAGGAACGTCGTGAACAAGAGTGTTGAGATTCAGTGAGATATTCCTGGTTAAACACGCACAACACTAATCATGATGATCATAATAATATGTCGCCTAAGGTGAAATTTACCACCCTCTTTTGGGCTGTGTTCACAAAAACCCCGACCCCAAGGAGAACCTTCAACCCGTGCTCAGGGGCCACCGCCAGCCCGGTGCCCGCAGGAATGAATCTATCTGCTCGGAGCGCTTTCCATTGGTGCAGTGTTCAGCGCAGTGGTTAGCGCAGAGGCTGACGCTGAGAACCTGTCAAACTGAGTTTGAGTCTCAGCCATCAGCGGTGATGCATGAGCCGAGTTTGCGGGGGGGGGGGGACATGCCCTCCCCCCCCCCCAAACTGGACACTTTCATGGATTTGTTTTCAGTAGTTTACAACTAAGACTAAAACAAATTAATTATATGCACCTGCCATTTCTAATGTGAGGGACAAAGCGAACCCCTGCCTCCCAACCAAATATATCAGTCGAACTCCGCCTATGGGTGAGTGATATCTGAATCGGTCCTGGACCTATTTCCCCTATGTCGACTCAGCCTTGAATGAGTTACTGGTATGTTGTGTAAACACCAGTACTGGTGAGATGAAGGCGGATTGCTTCAACAGTCTATGTAGATTATACGGGAGGGGGGGGGGGTGTACTTACCGTATTAAACAATAAAGCAGTGTGCTACCATGAGCATGATTATGCGTGGTTGTGTTGTTGTTTTCTAGCGACGAGCGGCAACGTCTCACAAGACGCAATTGAACATCCGTGGCCCCTGGCTCAATTGACAGTGAAATGAACGCCACTGCTGCCTCGCCCACATGAGAGATGCCTCATCGTGCGTAATTAGTTTGAATAAATGAAACTGGGCCCTCGCGGTGCGAGTCATTTACTGTCGCTATTCCGATTCTGAAATAGCTATTAACAATTTGGTTTGCGTAAGTGGCAGAACTGTACGAATATTATTCTTATTATTACTTGATCTTCAAGATTATTTCCAATTTTTGCTTGTTGAATTTTTTGAAACTGATGCCGTTAGGTCACTTTAAATATTTTGGTGAATCATTCGGTGAACGAATCAATGCCCATAAACGATCGTACGCCGTTATTGTACCGCCTTCATTTTATTGATTTACTTTTGAATGAAAACATTGGGGAATGCAGTGAAAATGGTACATTAGAGTGATACATTGCAATGATATCAGTGGCACACACCGACTCCTAGCCGAGGACTCGTAAGCAGTGAACTCTTTTTACATAAGAAGCAAATGAGGAAGAAGGCCCTCACATTGGACATTCGTGGTTTTCAATTCATTCTTTCATGTAAATGTCAATGAAGTGAATTAAAGATGCGTGGAAAATCGATCGGATGGACAAAAACTACTCATACGCCCTTGGAAGTCAATGAATCCTCCTCAAACGGTATTAGGCGCCACGTACGTATGTCCACCAGTGGAGCAGTAAATACAATGGGCAAGATTCTCAAATCTCCCGGGGCCCCTTCAACCAGCCTCACCTCCTCTGTCTACCAAAAGAGCTCTAATCGGTACCGCACCGCGACCCAATCGGCAAATCAGGTGTGCCGGGGGTAAAGTGCGGGGTGCTCCTAGTTGCTACGAGATGTCATGCCAGCGTGGAAGAGTGAACCAAAGTCACCTCCTGCGAGAGAGGGGCTTTCTCGAAGGCCTTCCCGCCAGCAGTGGTGTGAGCAGGCAATGAAACTATAAACTATTAAACTATTTTTTTTTCTTCCAGGTAAGGCCCACTGAGCAATTTAGCTCTATTTTTAGAAGTCACCTGGCCACAATTGATAGCTCAACGAAGTGGCTTCTCACGTTGACATGTAAAACAACAAAATACTCAATTGCCAGGCCGCCCCCTTTTTACCTTTCAGTTTCTAGCTCATCACTTTGCCTGTCGATGAATGAAGTCATTCACTAACAGCTGAGAACTGTGTCCAGTAAGTCTGAAACTTTGCAATCGGGAGTGCAAGAGAAACAGCCGAGCGTAGACAAGTAAGTGCCGATGTGCTTTGATTGCTTCCCTTCTGCCCCGGTGCTGGCCAGTGTTCTGGGCAGGAAACCCGGTCATTGAGGCCGCGTGTCTCTAAATCATCCTCGGTTTTTTTGCCGTTGTGGCTTCTCTTTTTAAAGAGAAAAAAAACCGAATGCTCGGCATCGTCCGTGACCACAAATATATCGCGTGGGATTGCTTTTCCCCCCCATCTGCGGGGACAAGGTCAGAGAGCGACTGAGACCTAACCGTTGCCTTCTCCCTGCGCTGACAATATCTCCTGAACAATTTGGCAAATCTCGAGATGTTTTGTTGTTTCGTTTTTAAGGCCACATTTTTTGAGCCAGGGAGCCCGGCATTGGGGGTTTCGAGGTCAGAGGTGAAGTTTGCAATACCCCTCGGAAACTGCTCAAAGCGGTGGTCAAAACGGGAGTCGCATATCATTTTCGTGTTCATAAATATTTATGATGGCCACTAATGTGAGGACTGTTATTTTTTATGTCCTTGAATTGTAATGTGTATAAGGCTGAGTTAATCATAAGTATATATGTTTTTTTACATTTCTAGGTGCGTAGGTTTGTAAATGGTTAAGGTATGTATGTAGTTGTATATGTTGTTTTACATATGTATATTTATAGATATGTAGGTATGTCGGTTTCTTTGTAGACAGGTGGGTATATTTTATAGATCAGTATGTATTTAGGTCGGGTATTTAGGTGGACAGGTAAGTAGATATAGGTGGGTATACAAGAATGTTATGAGTGTTTTGTAGGTAGGGAGGGAGGGGAGGGATGTCGATACATGGGTTAGGTAGGGTTTTGGGTATGTCAGTAGGTAGATGGCAAAGAGGAAGGTTGGTGAAGGTTGCTGAAGCTGCTAGTTTTATAATTTGCTATATTTTCTTTGATATACAACATTATGAGAGTCCTCTGAGATCACAACTCCCTTTTTCAAAAGGACCCTGATGTAATTAATAGATGCCATGATTCATTACATAGCAAGAAGGAAGAGGGAGAAAGTCATGCGTTTGAAAAAACCAAGCGGAATCCACAATGCCACTCTTATTGTCCAAGGTAATAAAGAGTAAACCTTTGCAGAAGGAATTTCTGTAAGGAGGTGAAGGTGGTTGATACACGGAACTATACATGGCAAGGCAGCAAAGAAGGAAGGGGAAACAGATGAAGAGGTGGTCAAAGAAGACGAATTATTGTATGAAGGCTAAACACAAATTGTGATTTATTCCTGGTTCAGAAGACGTTAAGCAATTGATGGCTATAGCAGTGATGATGATGACCGCAAACTACATCAGTCATTCCCAACGTTGGCTAATGGAAAAAATTCTGCCAATTCACTGACGACCTATGGCCCTAAAGATATCTGAATTATAAAATTTTAATGATACTGAAATTATTAATTTAGCATTAATATTTTAGCAGTTCTTTTGAGCTTGTTATCCGTGGTCTAGAGAGAAGCGTGAGACAGTGCGGCAACTGTCATCCACTTATAGGAAGAGCACCTTGGTGTACTCGTAAATCTGTACGTGTGTGCGTGTGTCTGTGTGTGTCTTTGTGTGTGTGTGCGTGTGTGTGTGTGGGGAGAGTGGAGAGTTTCCCATAGCTAGGCAGTGTGCTCATGACCGGCTCCGGTTTGACAGCAGAGGTCTCTCTCCAAATCAGTCGAGCGGCATTATCTTTTCATCAGTTGCGTAACACTGTGTGGAAGCTACCTGGTCTGTCGCTCCACACGAAGCTTCAGGTCTTCTCGGCCACAGTCATTCCCTCCCTTCTCTACGCTTGCGGAATGTGGCCCCCCTAATGGAACATCTTCGCCCGTTAAAAACATTTAGGCTGGCCTGCCTACGATCCATCCTGGGTTTAACCTGCAGGCTGGATTGTGTGAGGAGCTCACAAATCCTTGAAAGATCTGGACAAAGTCCCATCGGTGAGCTCCTCCGGCAGGCAAGGCTGCGTTGGCTGGGTCATGTAGCCCGCATGCCCAGCCACCGCATACCTAAACAGCTTTTGTTTGGCCGGATCGAGGGGGCTAAACGGGCGCGGCACGGGCTAGAGATGGAGATCTGCCTCTGTGGAGGAGGCTCGTGAAGGACGCTACTGGGCAGTTGGAGGCAGTCGCAATCCAACAACAACAGAGGGCGGAGGAGCGACGCTCACAACAACGAGCGGAGCGCCGGGTGGCTAAAGCACAGCAAGTTGGCACAGTAGGGGGCACAGGTGGTGCATCAGTCACTCATTTCAGTCAGTCGACCCGTAGCACCTGCTGGGTCTGCCACGTGACCTCGTGCCAGCGGGCCATCGAAACTTCACGTGGCCTCAACATGCACATAGCCTGGCACAAGCGTCATGATGACGTCACCGCCACTTAGTGGCGAATGGCGGTTGTTGTTGTTGTTGTGTGTGGGGAGTGGTTGTGTAGCGGTCAGCACACTGCACTACGAACCTGACGACCCGGGTACAAGTTTCGCTCATGGCCAACATCAGTGACGATTATTTGATCCGGTCTTGGGCCTCCCCTAGGTCGACACCCTTAAATGAGTACCTGGTGCGGTGTGTAAACAATGGCACTATAGGGAGACAAAGGCGACCGGGCGTGGTGCTGGCCACCCACCCCCTCGTGTGCCGTGCCGGCCTTCATAAGCGCTCGCTAACAGGACTTGCCCCAACAGTCTGTTAAGGCTCTACGGGGGATCTTTGTGTTTGTCTTTGTACAGGGTGCGGTAACGCAAAGGGTTAGTGCGCTGTGTCGTGAACCCAGTAACTTGCTGTGATCTCCCTTGACAGCCTCCACGAGTGATGAGCGATATCCGAATCGGCACCTCGGGGCTTTCTGTGAACGTCGTGCACCCAGAACTTTGGGAGGCAAAGGCAGCCTGAGCTGACGTAATGACCACACCACCCCCTCGCGCTCCATGCTGCCTTAAATAGGCTCTCACCAACGGCACCTGTCCCCACGGTGTTAAAGGTTGCATGAGGGGTGGAAAATCATTGTTTTTTTTTTAAGATATATATTTTCCATTGGGTCTGCGCTGGCTCAGACAGTGAATAATGCACGCTTTGTGCGTCGCTGTTTGTGTGTGTGCATGAAGCAGTCAGCATGATGCCCTACGAACCCGACGACCCGTGTTCGATTCGCGCTCATGGCTAACACCAGTAATTATTACTTAAACCGGTTCTGGGCCTCCCATAGGTCTCAAATAAGTATCTGGTGCGGTGTGTAAATGTCACCACTGAGGAGACAAAGGCGGCCGAGCGTGATACCGGACACATACCCCCATCGTGTGCCGTGCCGGCCTTCATAGGTGCCACTCACTTACAGCACTTGCCACAAAAAGTCTGCTGAGGCTCATTGGGGGGGGTGGGTGGGATCTATGTCTTTGTGCGCGCGCTCACAGAGAGGGTGACCTTCAAGGAGGCTCGCTCGCCACAGGAGTTCAAGGAGGGAGACGACGCCATCGTCGAGTGTCACGTGATCAGCTCTCCTGAGCCCGCCGTCATGTGGAAATTCAACGAGCGCAACGTCATGATGAAGAAGGACGGTGAGCGGCACACGGCAGGCACCCATGCCACCCATCAGCGTGGCCGCCAGGGTGACGCAGTGTTAATAACACTTGTCCTTCAGAGCAAAATAGCCCTGGGCTCGAATCCTGACTTCGGGTCACTTTCTGCGTTGATTTCGAATGTTCTCCCGCCTTTGTTCTGCGTGGGTTTCCTTTGGGTTTTTCGATTCCTTCCCAAACATCTCAATGCTAAGAATGTAGCTGTAAATTACTTGGTTTTGGATGACACAGCAGCGAGATCTCTCCCTCGTGCAAAAACCAAGGCAAGGACTCTCCCAATGCAGCGTCTCGATACTCAGTAACCTGACCACAAATGGTAGCCCAATAAAGTGGCTTATCTCCAAACGCGCGATGTTGATTCTAAATGCGGAGGGAAAAACTCGGAGGATCTGGGGAAAAATGCACGCAACCACAGGGAGAACATTCAAACTCCGAATGTACAAGCATTGTCAGCGTCGGGATCGAACCCACGACCTCCTATATACCGGGCGAGGTGGTCAACATCCCACCGTGTGTGAATCGCCCTCTGACCCCGGGGGCGTGCGTGCGTTGCGCAGCCCGCTTCTCGCTGCTCTCCAACAACTACCTTCAAATCCGCGGCATCCGCAAGAGCGACGAGGGAGTCTACCGCTGCGAGGGGCGCATCCTGGCGCGAGGCGAGATTGACTACCGCGACATCCGCGTGCTCGTCAACGGTGAGCGCCGGCGGGGGGAGAAGGGGGGGGCGGCTTGGGATTGTATTTCCTGCAACAACAATTTACGTTTCATCGAAATGCGACCGCATCTCATGAAACTGAATCGAACAGTGAGTCTTCTTTGGTTCTTTCGGTAAAGTCACCAGGTAGAATGAGAATAAAATAATAAATTGATAAAATAAAATAACACGATAAAATTCTCACGACGTTTCGGCCACAACACAAGCGGCCTTCATCGGGTGAAGGGACGAGACTGTCTGGAGGACAGCGCTGGAGCGAACAAAGCCAAGCTCAGATCGCGACCTTTAAGCTGTGTGAGAAGAAACAGAGCGCCTTGACAAAGGAATTAGCATAGAATTTAGCATTGAAATAGCTGAGTGATTAGCTTGTGACTGGTCACAGAAATGGCTATGTTAAAGTCAAAGCATACACATCCACAGAATAAATGTACTCAATATATTCTTCAATAAGCTGAGCTATTAACAGTAACTGGGTATACACTACACTATATAATGCTTTAAATCGAACAGTGAGTCTTGCTTCACGGGAAAAGGAAACGTCGATGTTATTAAATCGTTGACTTAAAGCTTTCGTGACTGCAGGAATTCATTTTCTTAGGGTCTTTCGGTAAAGCCACTATCCACGTGGCTTTACCGAGAGACTCAAAGTAGATAATAATATTTTTAGTGGACGACAACAACAGCCCTCATTAGCCGCTAAGTGAGAAGTCACCACAGTACTCGTGCCAGGCTAGGTGCCCTTTGAGCCACGTGAAGTGTCTAAGGAGGTCATGGAACAGACCCCAGGTGTTATAGGTTCGCTGACCGACGTGACTGGCAGATGCCAACGCAGCTCCAGCAACACCCCCGGTTTACCTCGCGGCGATGCGTTTCTTAAAGGCGCAGTGACGAATGTCGAAACGACGTCAACCCAAGTGACTTACAAGGTTTGTAGATAAGGTGGTGCTGGTGGTGGTGGAGGCGAAGGCTGAGAGCTGTGACGGACAACGAGAAAAGATGTACGGTGCCGTCAGCGACGTAAGCTTGTGGGGCTGAGGCGACGCGAATCAGGTTGCGGTTTTAATAAAGCGACGACGCATTCGCGAACCGACGTGAAAGTGGGAGAAGCAAATCGGGGTATCGCCGTACCTTGTCGTTATTGCTGGTGCTGCCGCCGCTGTTAAGGCTGCTGTTGCAAGCTGCTGCTGCTGTCGCTGTCGCTGATGTTGATGCCCCCCTCGTACAACTGTCCCCTCGTCGTCGTTATCCCCGTCGCAGTGGCCCCGACGGTGCGCGTGCGACAGAACGCCGTGAACGCCACGGCGGACCGCGGAGAGAATGCCCGCCTGGTGTGCACAGCCGACGGATTCCCCGAACCCATCATCACCTGGACCCGGTGTGTGTTACGCGTGTCTCTGTGCGTGCGTGTCTCTCGGCGTGTTTGTATTTGTGGCGTGCATGTCTCGGCGTGTTTGTGTTTGTGGCGTGGAAGTGTTCCCTGAGTTTGGGTTTGAGCCGAAGAAGAAAATAAAAATTGGTTTGGATGTGAAATTTTGGATGATCCGGAAATGTGACCTCGCAGGAAGTGGATGGAACTTCCACGGCATCGCTTCAGAGCTTTTCCCGCAACAAAAGTGTCGTCACGTGATGTCGTTTTGATGTTGTGTGATGTCGCTTTTGCTTAGATAATTAAAATGTTTTTTACTTTGAAAAAAAATATTCAAATATTTATCTTTTTTAGTTTTCTCATGATAAATGGACTAAATTTGGTGAATAAACAATGAATGTCATTGTAATTTCAGAAATTAAAATCCTAAAATATGAACATGTGAATTAAAATCTGAAATTTGGCCTCAGATTTCAAAATATCAAACATGTCAATCTGGAACTCGTTCACAAATACCTTGGGGGTCTGTAGTGTCGTGGATTCGTGAACTCCGCTACGAACCCAGCGACCCGAGCTCGAAACCCAACCTTGGCTAACATCAGTGGCAACGAATATCTTAACCTTTCCCGACGGAGTGCCCTATAAGTCAATCTGGTTACCTGGTATGTAGTGTCATGAATATCATCACTGAGGAAAAAAAGTCAACTTGGCACGGTGTGCCATGCTGGACCGAATTCATACTCCCCCAATTACCAGTTACCTGGTATGTAGTGTCATGAATATCATCACTGAGGAAAAAAAGTCAACTTGGCACGGTGTGCCATGCTGGACCGAATTCATACTCCCCAATTACCAGAAAATCATCACGGTACTCGAATTGGAAATGTTGACGTGGGTTTTACTACTCTCCAACACACAACCCATGTGCTGAGATGGTAACTAATTAGCATGTTTTGTTTAAGTGACAAACCTCACCAATCGGCTGTGTCGGGTGGTGACGGGTTTAACAACACATTTTTATTTACGCGATATAACCTAAAAAAAAAACCTCCTCTTATGAATTCACACTCCCTGTTGACACTTACTCCAACCGTCCATGTAAGTGAACGGGAAAATCGTTGTCGTTTTGTACATGTGAGCGTGCTTGCACTGCGTGTGTGTGTACGTGTGGGTAGGTATGCTCGTTTTTTGTCCTTGCATACATGTACGGTCTCCCGTGTGATGTCATCGTCACTTAGTGGCGATTGGCGGGTATTGCTAATGGTTTATTTGCATAGACCACTGTTCATGTTTTGCCTTCCTCCCTTCGTTCGTCTGTTCGATGTTGTGACTCCACAAAGATCCGTCTGGAAGCGGTGACAGTAGCTACCGTTTTATTCTGTCTGCTTTTCAATGCCTACCATTTCGAGCGTGGCACTTAATGTACTTGCTCACCGGAGTCCATACCCTGCACTCTAACTCCCAGAAAAAAAAGTTAAACGATCTTGGTTCAATGGAGCACTTAATCTCTGTGCCATTTACAAAAAAAAGGAAAAACCTAAAACTCCTCTGCCTCTCAACTCTCCCTGTCCTCTGCTGCTGATGTTCCCAACTGCCCCAACTGTACGCCCTCATGCCGATGCCATCGAATATTTTTTTGGTTTACGCTCGCGATACGTGCGTCAAATTGAGCAGTAATAATCTGGATTTTTATCATGTGATAGAAAAAAGTGTTATCAATATGTCATTTCCCAGCCTTCTAATTGGCTAGAGCTCATGGCACACACCGACCAGCTCGATCTGATTGGCGCATCCCCCCCTTAATTGATGCCCAGCAGGGGGGGACCACAGCTCGCTGGCCGTGGGGGGTGGCAGTGAGGGATGCGGATTCCAGGGGTGGTGGCAAAGCCCATTGGGGGGGGGGGGGGGGGGGGGGGGGGGAGGGGTCTCGCTGGCTGGAGCCAAGGGAAGGGTGATAGAGTGGGGGGCTGTGGAACGGGGAGGGCAATATTCTATCCCATACAGACGGAACAGATGGAGATGAGTCAATCTTCTCTGCACCATCTTCTGCTGGCAAGCCAAGGGTATGGCACCTCGAACACCCACAGGATGGGAGTTTCACAGCATTTGCGTGATCCAGCAACCTTCGCCTGCACAGTACCATGTTACAGGCGCAATGGCGAGGAGGGGGAGGGGGGAGGAGGGAGGAGGTGGGGGGAGGAGGGTGGAGGAGAGAAGACAGAGGGAGGAGGAGGAATCACGATTCCACAATAATGCTCAACGCACGTTGCCACCATTCCATTCCAAGGCTCTACTCCTGATTGCAGGCTAGGAATCGTGTAAATTCAAGCACATTAAATACACTCAATTTAGCTCAATACATCCGGTTATATATGTTGTCTTTGGTAAAATAAAATAACAAACAAAACATTTCCTCATGCGCCGAATGATGTTCGGCAGTTAAGAGGAAAAGTCTAATGTCAGACATTCGAAACAAAATTCTCCCTCTCAACTTATCGCTTGGAGCACGGGGGTCTAGCGTCGGTGGGAATTCTATCAAAATTACGCAGTCCCGTTCACCGAGGAATGCTTTACAATACACCCTCGCGGGGGCCCAAGCACAACTGGCGGTTAACGTAATTTATTTTAATTCTCTCAGCCTAATTGTCTTGACAAGCTTGAGGGCCTCCTCCAAATGGGAGTTGACAAGCTCTGGAGCAACCACTTTGTTCAAATGCGTTTATTGGTTCTGTCGCCCGTTTAATCGAGATGCACGCACGTGGGCCAAGCACCCGGGTCAAAAAGTAAAAAGTCCGCCAGACAATCTGATAGCATCCCGAGCGTCGCGATCGGGGAGCCCTCTTTGTCACGTGGGCAGGTGTCGGGCCGTCCTTTGTTCAGTGCCTTGTTTATCGCGCAAACTGCCTTTTGCTTTACCCATCCGTCCCTGTGAATACGCATACTTTATGTTTTGGGAAGAGCTCCCCTGAGAGGGATGGACATCTGTCGTCTGGTTGAGCATGGTCTGCAGACTTGTGCCTGTGTATACACGTTTAATTTTGATGAGGCAAGCTGCCAGCGTGTGTGTGCAAATACAAGGACGAAGATCTCCCGTGTAGCCTGAACAGACTGTTGTGACAAGTGCTGTTTGCGGGCACCTATGAAGGCCTGGCACAGCACACGAGGGGGTGGGTGGCCAACACCACGCCCGGTCGCCTTTGTCTTCCCAGTGGTGATGTATTTACACACCACGCCAGGTACTCATTTGAGGCTGAGTCGACCTAGGGGAGGCCCAGGACCGATTCAGATAATCGTCACTGGTGTTGGCCGTTAGCGGGAATCGAACTCGGGGCGCCGGGTTGGTAGTGCAGCACGCTGACCGCTACACTACCGCTCACGCACACACACACCACACACACACACGCAAAGATCATTCTTGTAACCCAATGTGGTTAGTGAGTACCTATTAAGGCTGAAATGGTTCCTGCATGAAATGATGAGGTGGCTTGCACCAAACCGTGCTGCTGCTACACAATTACTGATGCATTGGTTCATTCATAAAAAAAAATCGGTTCTTACGCTCACAATGCACACATTGAATCGTGCGCGTGAGAATACTTTTTGATCCGATCGTACATGTATGTAATTGGTCGATGTGAATCCTGTGGCCATTAGAGGCTCGACGTGCAACACAGTGAGAAACAAATATATTCTCAAATTAAATAGCCACCCTGAATCGTGACAATTCATCAAATCTCAAGGGGGCGATTCATCACGTGCCTACCAGTCACTTTTGTCTCCCCCCAAATCTGGATGATTTAAAAGTGCACAGCTCCAATATTGAAAAGGAAGAGCGTATCAAGCGCACCTGAATGCGCGTTTCGATGCAGCGACCGTCTATGTTCGATTGCTAGCCAAAAAGTGTACTCATGCTTGAGGACGTGTAAATGTGCGTGCTTGTGTGTTCATCCAGCATGCGTCTTCGATGCTACAACAGCGGTGCAATGAGCCGTCTCTTGATTGCCTATGAACAGATGCCTTGATTGTACGTACAGTGAGGGAAAAAAGTATTTGATCCCCCGCTGATTTTGCACGTTTGCCCACTGACAAAGAAATTAGTCGATAATTATAATGGTAGGTTTATTTGAATGGTAGGTTTATTTGAACAGTGAGAGACAGAATAACAACAACAAAAATCCAGAAAAACGCATGTCAAAAATGTTATAAATTGATTTGCATTTTAATGAGGGAAATAAGTATTTGACCCCTCTGCAAAACATGACTTAGCACTTGGTGGCAAAACCCTTGTTGGCAATCACACAGGTCAGACGTTTCTTGTAGTTGGCCACCAGGTTTGCACACATCTCAGGAGGGATTTTGTCCCACTCCTCTTTTCAGATCTTCTCCAAGTCATTCATGTTTCGAGGCTGACGTTTGGCAACTCGAACCTTCAGCTCCCTCCACAGATTTTCTATGGGATTAAGGTCTGGAGACTGGCTAGGCCACTCCAGGACCTTAATGTGCTTCTTCTTGAGCCACTCCTTTGTTGCCTTGGCCATGTGTTTTGGGTCATTGTCATGCTGGAATACCCATCCGCAACCTATTTTCAATGCCCTGGCTGAGGGAAGGAGGTTCTCACCCAAGATTTGACGGTACATGGCCCCGTCCATCGTCCCGTTGATGCGGTAATGTTGTCCTGTCCCCTTAGCAGAAAAAACACCCCCAAAGCATAATGTTTCCACCTCCATGTTTGACGGTGGGGATGGTGTTCTTGGGGTCATAGGCAGCATTCCTCCTCCAAACACGGCGAGTTGAGTTGATGCCAAAGAGCTCCATTTTGGTCTCATCTGACCACAACACTTTCACCCAGTTGTCCTCTGAATCATTCAGATGTTCATTGGCAAACTTCAGACGGGCATGTATATGTGCTTTCTTGAGCAGGGGGACCTTGCGGGCGCTGCAGGATTTCAGTCCTTCACGGCGTAGTGTGTTACCAATTGTTTTCTTGGTGACTATGGTCCCAGCTGCCTTGACATCATTGACAAGATCCTCCCGTGTAGTTCTGGGCTGATTCCTCACCGTTCTCATGATCATTGCAACTCCACGAGGTGAGATCTTGCATGGAGCCCCAGGCCAAGGGAGATTGACAGTTCTTTTGTGTTTCTTCCATTTGCGAATAATCGCACCAACTGTTGTCACCTTCTCGCCAAGCTTCTTGGCAATGGTCTTGTAGCCCATTCCAGCCTTGTGTAGGTCTACAATCTTGTCCCTGACACCTTTGGAGAGCTCTTTGGTCTTGGCTATGGTGGAGAGTTTGGAATCTGATTGATTGATTGATTCTGTGGACAGGTGTCTTTTATACAGGTAACAAGCTGAGATTAGGAGCTCTCCCTTTTAGAGTGCGCTCCTAATCTCAGCTCGTTACCTGTATAAAAGACACCTGGGAGCTAGAAATCTTTCTGATTGAGAGGGGGTCAAATACTTATTTCCCTCATTAAAATGCAAATCAATTTATAACCTTTTTGACGTGCGTTTTTCTGGTATTTTTGTTGTTATTCTGTCTCTCACTGTTCAAATAAACCTACCATTAAATTATAGACTGATCATTGCTTTGTCAGTGGGCAAACGTACAAAATCAGCAGGGGATCAAATACTTTTTTTCCCTTACTGTATGTACGTGTGCTGAACTTCATTTGCACCGTACGTAGCCGACCGTGATGATCGGAGGTGCGGCATGTCGATTGACGTACTGATCGATCGTCTTGTTTCATCATTTGCCATTTTGGGGGGGGGTGGGGGGAGCAGCAATGGCGAGGTGCTGGAAGTGTCTGACAAGTACGCGCTGAGAGCCAACGGCAGCGAGCTGGTGGTGAAGAACGTGGCCAAGGGGGACGATGGGGAGTACCTGTGCAGCGCCGAGAACAAGGTCGGGGAGCAGGACGCTGAGGTGACCCTCAAGGTGTTTGGTGAGTGGCCTCCCTCTCTCCCTCCCTCCCTCCCTGCCTCTCTCCCTCCCTCCCTCCCTGCCTCCCTCCCTCCTCTCTCCTCCACCCTCCTCCCCCCGCTTCCTCCCTCCTCCTCCCTCCTTCCCCCTCCCCCTCCTCCCACCTCACCATCATCCTCACTCCGCCTCCCTCCCCCATGCTTGTTTGTTGCCGGCCTGCTTGACAATTTTGGGGCCTGTGCCCAGCAACTGTGAAGTAAAATAAAAAAAGGGACAGAAATCTTTCAAGCAAAGTCTTTATTTCAAAATATCAACCGGCTATGGGCATTGATCCCATCGTTATTTGTAGGGTTAAGTAACGTGGTCGTTTTATACTAAAAATCATGTCATTAATGATACTAATTTTGGCATAGAACCACATTGTTGCCTAACCGACAAACGTAGGGGTATAAGCGTTGGCTACAGAAATTCTACATTATTTGGCACAATTTTATTATTTAATGCAAGACATTTGGTTATAAGATTTAGCACCATAGACATAGCAGTTGTTAATATTGTAAATGTATTTGTGTGTTGGGAGTGGGTATGATAATCATTGTATAAATGCAAAAGGTGTACATTATATATTTACCATTCTTGTATACAAGTCATTACGTATTTCCATTGTGTGTGTCAGCCAACATCCTGGACATTCAGTTTCACACCGAGATGTTCCAAAAAAAATAAAAGGAGACATGGGTGACAAGGAAGCAACAAACGTACAAACAAAATAAGTGGCAACAAAAACCAAGCATTGGTAGAACAATTCCGAAAGGCTCAATGCCAACATCAAAATGACGCAAATAAAACTCTTCAATTCGATATGATTTCAGTTAAAATATTTTTTGCAGCAGAAGGGATTAACACAAACCAGTAATTATCTGGGTCTTTCGGTAAAGTCACGTAGATAGACATAATAATAACAATAAAAGAATACAAATGAAAATAAAGTGAATGAAAAATAATAATAAAAAATATCACGACGTTTCGATCACAACACAAGCAATCGTCGTGACGTCTTTTATTTATTTTTCATTCACTTTATTTTCATTTTTATTAATTTATTGTTTCTATTTTTTTTTTCTATCTACGTGACTTTACCGAAAGACCCAAAGAATATGAATTCCTGCAGTAACGAAAGATACAAACCGGTAAATTTAAACAAGGTCAACTAGAGATGAAGTGAGAGGCAATTATCAGAAGCACTTACATTCAAATGGTCAAGCAATTAATCCGTGCTAATCGGAGGTAACGGGGGGGGCTGGAGGACAACAAGCTAAAGGCAAAAAGCAGGGTTAAAGAAATTAGTTTTCAATCTAGATATAAAAGTGCACAGCTCTAGTGGCTTCATAATATCAGAAGGAAGAGCATTCCAGACGGCCGCAGAAGCACACCTTAAAGTGCGAGAAGCGGTGACCTGGTTGAGAACTTTTTTAGTGACGGGTATCTGCCCGGCTTAAAGTCTACGATCGCAGCTGCTCACTGCAATCACATATTCTACCTTTAACATTGGAAAAGAGATGCTTTATAGTTTGAGAAAAAAAACTGTTGTTTACTTGTACGGTTTGTTTCACGAGCACCGAATTTAATTGGAGTCCTCCACATGGGAATCACCCGTGGTATAACTGCGATTGTCGTAATTATTAAGCCGACTTTGTTGGAAATTACTTTAAGAACAAGGGTGGCCCCTCAGGTGGTTTCTCCGTGGGCTGCCGTGGAAAAAGTGATAAGGGGAAAGTGTCGGTATGAGTAAGGTTGAGCCCAGGAGATTGTTAATGAGGACAGCAAAGTGCCATTGTTCGTTAATTATAAATATAGCTTAAGGACAGTCGCCACAGTCGTGCCTATTGTTGTGATATCGTCCACGGCCATTACCCGCTCCTCCGCCCCACCGATGATTAAGCGCTTGCGCTGTGGTAAGTGAGCTAAAATAGTATAAGGTGTAAGAGCGAAAGTCCTCTTAACTGTGACTGATGATTTACCGCTCGTTTCTTGGCATAATCTTTTTGGTGATTCATCACCGGCGCGGGTTTTATTGTACGCGGGCGCAGGAAGTGGCAGGCTGAAATGAAGCAATTAAAATTTGTTTGGAGGTTTTTTTTTTTGTGGGCAGATAACCGGTGTAATTTGTGTCACAGTTCCAGCTCCGTATTGTTTAACCGAAGGCTGAGCGCGCGAGGAGCGATTGGGGAATTGTTCTGAGGCTCTTTTAATGCTAAATGAATCTTGTCTTGTTGCACTGTGTGTTGTCTGTTTTTTTAAAATGTTCGGGGAACTGAAGTTGGCTGAGGGGGGCTGAGGAAGGAGTAGTTCAATGGACAGGTAATTGGCCAGATGTGAAAGGGCATAATGTGGTGTAATTAAGTGAAATATGGAAAATGTATTGGGACCCGTGCCGGTTCATTTATCCAGCCGTTCAGTCATCCGTTTTATAAAAAAAAAAACGTCGGGGCTGCTTTGACAAACGGAAGGACATTTGGATGGCACGCGATTAAACTGGCGACGGTAAAAAAAACGACGCGTCGGCATTGTCACACCCCGTGCGCGCTCGCTTGCCGTCTCGTTGCGGGGAGGAGGGGAGCGGATCAGAATGCGTGCCGGGCTGCAGCAGACGTCGGGCGGACCAAACTATTCAACGAGTTTTATTTGACCAGGTAACGCCCACTGAGCTATGTAGCTCCCTTTTCTTTTCATAAGCGACCTGGCCATCACAATTGATAGCTCGGTAAAGTGGCTTATCATCGCGTGGAAATTTATAGCAGCCAAATTCTCTAGCCAACGCACGTTGATTCAAATTGCGGAGGGGGGAAAAAAACCGCAGGGCCCGGAGAAAAATCCACGCGGCCACGGGGAGAGAGACACCGCAAGCTCCAAATATACAGCAGGCATCAGGGTCGGGTTCGAACCCACGAACCCCGTATGCCAGGTGAGGTAGTTAACGTCTCCTAGCCACCGCGACTCCGGATGGTCACCGGTTTCAGTGACCCAGCGAACCGTCACGTGTCCCCACCGGTTTCAGTGACCCAGCGAACCGTCACGTGTCCCCACTCTTTTGCGGCGCAGTTAAACCGGAGATCACCTACCTGGAGAACAAAACAACGTCGGAGCTGGAGGAGCAGATTGTGCTGACCTGCGAGTCCGAGGGGGAGCCCCTGCCCACCATCACCTGGAGGAGGGTCAGCGACCAGCACGTGTTCCGCCAGGGGCAGCAGGTGAGAGAGGGTTCCGGAGGTCAGAGTTAATTCCCGGTTTTGCGGTCGCCCGGCTAGCTGTGAGGAAATGAATATTGGAGAAGACCGTTTCTCAGTCTCGCCTTGCATAATGCTCAACACATGAGCGGTAGGAGCTGGTAACGATGGGTAACACGGGCTGTGTGTGTGTGATAATCCTGGACAATAACCAACGTGTGAACTGTGCCAGTTACAGTGAGGGAAAAAAGTATTTGCTCCCCTGCTGATTTTGTACGTTTGCCCACTGACAAAGAAATTATCAGTCTATAATTTTAATGGTAGGTTTATTTGAACAGTGAGAGACAGAATAACAGCAAAAAAATCCAGAAAAACGCATGTGAAAAATTGTATAAATTGATTTGCATTTTAATGAGGGAAATAAGTATTTGACCCCTCTGCAAAACATGACTTAGTACTTGGTGGTAAAACCCTTGTTGGCAATCACAGAGGTCAGACGTTTCTTGTAGTTGGCCACCAGGTTTGCACACATCTCAGGAGGGATTTTGTCCCACTCCTCTTTGCAGATCTTCTCCAAGTCATTAAGGTTTTGAGGCTGACGTTTGGAAACTCGAACCTTCAGCTCCCTCCACAGATTTTCTATGGGATTAAGGTCTGGAGGCTGGCTAGGCCACTCCAGGACCTTAATGTGCTTCTTCTTGAGCCACTCCTTTGTTGCCTTGGCCGTGTGTTTTGTGTCATTGTCATGCTGGAATACCCATCCATGACCCATTTTCAATGCCCTGGCTGAGGGAAGGAGGTTCTCACCCAAGATTTGACGGTACATGGCCCCGTCCATCGTCCCTTTGATGCGGTGAAGTTGTCCTGTCCCCTTAGCAGAAAAAAACACCCCCAAAGCATAATGTTTCTACCTCCATGTTTGACGGTGGGGATGGTGTTCTTGGGGTCATAGGCAGCATTCCTCCTGCTCCAAACACGGCGAGTTGAGTTGATGCCAAAGAGCTCCATTTTGGTCTCATCTGACCACAACACTTTCATCCAGTTGTCCTCTGAATCATTCAGATGTTCATTGGCAAACTTCAGACGGGCATGTATATGTGCTTTCTTGAGCAGGGGGACCTTGCGGGTGCTGCAGGAATGCAGGATTTCAGTCCTTCACGGCGTAGTGTGTTACCAATTGTTTTGTTGGTGACTATGGTTCCAGCTGCCAAAATCCTCCCGTGTAGTTCTGGGCTGATTCCTCACCGTTCTCATGATCATTGCAACTCCACGAGGTGAGATCTTGCATGGTGCCCCAGGCCGAGGGAGATTGACAGTTCTTTTGTGTCACCTTCTCACCAAGCTGCTTGGCAATGGTCTTGTAGCCCATTCCAGCCTTGTGTAGGTCTACAATCTTGTCCCTGACATCCTTGGAGAGCTCTTTGGTCTTGGCCATGGTGGAGAGTTTGGAATCTGATTGATTGATTGCTTCTGTGGACAGGTGTCTTTTATACAAGTAACAAGCTGAGATTAGGAGCACTCAAATACTCTTTTCCCTCACTGTACGTGCTTGCTGGATATGGTTTGCATGACAATCGGCACCTAACGCTCCACTCTAAAGCCGTGTAATGAGACGTGCCCGACTGCTGGGTTCCGTGGTTGCTAACAATGCAGAAGATAAAAACCTACAATGTAAAAAAATAAGATTTTTGGCAGCGTGTTTCTTTTTTTTCTCTCTCTCTCGGTTGTCCCCCTCTTTATAACCACTCCCTGTCTCCTTACATAGGCATCTTGGACTCGTCCAATCACCAGACAGGTATACTCCCTGTGGCATCTACCGTCTGTGCCTCTCCTGAGACTCACCACCACCATCACCATCCCCCAACCCCCAACTCACCCCCATTCTCAATTAACACGACTCACCACAAAATCCGTGTGCGAGACGTTTTGGCTAGCACTTAGCCGAGTCGCGTATAAAGCAACTAACCAGCTTCTAGTCAACCTAAAGCCTCCTAATATGCGTATTCTAATTATTTTGCATATTGTGTTCGCTAAATAACTGCATGGTAGATGGGCCAGTAGATGCGTTACTAACAGAAACTGTTTGTAATCAGTCACCGTGTCTGTAGTTGTTATGACGGCGACGGTGATGATGATGATGGTGTTGCGCTATGTTGAATTAACAGCAAGGGTTCATTATAAAATTGTGTTTTGTTGTGGATATTTGTCACCAGCGGTATATATTGGCAATTCTGCTGCCGCGAGGTGTAACATTCCGAAGTGCGATTTGACGCCTCGTGGTGGAAGAAGGCCCCCCGTGGATAGAGCCGTCCAAAGGCCTTTGCTTCACACTCGTCAGTAGCAAGCGGTCGCTGTAGAGACCAGGAGGCATCACAAATTGTTGACGAGCAACATTTTTTTGTACGTATTTACTACAATAGCAAGTGGAAGTGTGAGGTTTCGCATGGAGAGTTTCTTTGTAACTCCCAACAGGGCCCACATATTGGGCTCTCGTCTCTTACATTATATAAAATACTAGCTGTACTACACGGCTTCGCCCGGGACTTGGATACACCATGTCCAGCCGCCTTTGGCTCCCCAGTGGCGATGTTCACACCACAGCAGTTAGTCGTTTGAGGCTGAGTCGACTTAGGGGAGGCCCAGGACCGGTTAAAATAATCATCACCGGTGGTGGCCGTGAGCGGGAATCGAACTCGGGTCGCCGGGTTCGTAGCGCGGCGCGCTAACCGCTACACTACAATGCGTTACGCTTCCACGTGCGAGTGTCACGTGACAGATTTGACGTCACAGCTCACTTGCCGTGCACAAAAAATATATGCATTATTGAGCTCCTCCCCCCCCCCCCCCAAAAAAAAAGTGTATTTTATAATTTTTGCGTGGTGTACAGTCTGGAAAGTACTAACATGGCAAATTTCCAGTTTGTTGCATGTCGGGAAGTATGGTAAACATTTTGAACAGACACATATTCACAACTTTGCCTTTTACATATATATGGAGATAACAAATAGTCTTAAAATTTTTCACATTGGCAAATAATTCAGCTTTTGGTCCGGTGCTTAATACCCAAAACTCCAATCTTCATCTCTCCACGATGCAGCTGGCCACGCTTACTCTCGTCGTCAGACGTGCTCATGCTCTTGACGACTCAAATTTGCACCTGAATGGAGAGGGCTGCCTTTCCGTAGGAGGGAGGAGCACTATTCTGCACAGAACGATGCAATGCATTGTTAGTACAAATTGGCTTCAAACGTGGTCTTGCGGTAAGATTATATGCACGCGCTGGTTCGTATCTTATGTCACGGAACGTTGGGTAATTTAGAGTCAAAGTCCAAAGTGGTTTTCTGCTCGAATGAGCATTGAGGCGGTGCTCATCAAACGCTCACAGCCCTGAGCAATTGGTGGACATCCCACGTTCCTATGCCGAGGGATTAATCTATCCGATTGTGACAACCAATGTTGAATTGCCCACAAGGTGGTACTTATTTTATCGACCCCAGAGGGATGATAGGCTGGGTTATCCCCCTCCCCAACCAGGATGTGAACTCGTAACCTTCCGATTGCGAGCCGCTCGCTCTGCCTTTGCAGCCACCTGACAGGTGTTGGGTTTTTTAAAAAACTAGAATTTTAACGTCGACTTAAGTGTATGGGACAACGTAAGTGCAACAAACATTCACACACACACACAACGCGGAACATTACAAAATGAATATTTGTATGGAAAGAAGAAAAGCGAAGCTGTTACCCAGGGGGTGAAATCAATTGCTCGACTTTTCAGTGAAATGCTTTAATTTTGACCGCACTTTGGCGGGAGAACGATTACTCAGCATGATTTAGAATTTATAAAAATGTCAGAACACGCACAAATACACGTGGAGGTGGAGTGATGGTGTACCGTTGTTACAATGCTACGCAATAAACCCAGCAATCTGAGCTAATTTCTCACCCACGACTAACATCAGTGGCGAGTATCTGAACCATCCTAGTCGACCCCCCACCCCTTCACAAACCCACACTGACCAGCGTGGTGAAGTATAGTCAAACAACTCCGATGACCGATGATGCGGAGGAGGCCTTCATCCACCAGTGGACTGACAAAGGTCTATTTATTTTTTACGTACACATAACTCGGTAACTTTAAGAAGTTACTACTGTACACATTGTTAGTGTATCAATCTATAGCATTTGGATGTGAAGTTTTAAGCTGGGATGTTATGTGTAGTGTAATAATAATTCACTGAGCAGTTGCAAGTATGCATAGCATCATTTGTCTGTGAGTCACGGGACCCAAGTACATTTTCATCACACAGTGTTGAGTCAGAGTTGATTCTGTCCGGAAGGAGCCAGGGACCTATGGGGTTAATCCTGAGATACTGTATATATGACTTAGGACCTGTGACCTAGATGATGCTGAAGGGCACCATACATGTTTCCATCTAACATATCTCATACAGGCTGGTAGCATTTAACCTATCGGTGAACTTGATGAGGTCACAGGTGACCAGGTGGTTGAGGGCAAATTCCAAATTATAGGCTTCAGGTCACTCGTACAATGCATTTCCATTCAGCATTGCAGATTAGAAAAGAGAATCGTTGCATCCGCAGGACTGGCTGGCACCACGCTGGATTTTCACATTGGGTGAACGTCGCCGCGTGCAATGAGTCGACGCTGCCACAGTGGAACTCAACAATTCGGTCACGTGGTCGTGTCACGTGGCTTAGCGAGCCACCCTAAACCCTCACTTGCTGGCCGGTTCACCTGGTGTCGACTTAGCATTCCAAAGTTCATTCGAGCCAAGGTGGCGTGCACGTTGGCGCTTTGCCACCGCGACGGCCAGTCAAGTCAGACCTCAGTGGCCGTCGCGTGGTGAGATGTTAACTACCTTGCCTGGTATACAGGACGTCGTGGGTTCTATCCCAACCCTGACACGCTGTGGCTATGATATGTTAACTACCTCGCCTGGTATACAGGATGTCATGGGTTCTATCCCAACCCTGACACGCTGTGGCTATGATATGTTAACTACCTCGCCTGGTATACAGGACGTCGTGGGTTCTATCCCAACCCTGACACGCTGTGGCTATGATATGTTAACTACCTCGCCTGGTATACAGGACGTCGTGGGTTCTATCCCAACCCTGACACGCTGTGGCTATGATATGTTAACTACCTCGCCTGGTATACAGGATGTCGTGGGTTCCATCCCAACCCTGACACGCTGTGGCTATGATATGTTAACTACCTCGCCTGTTATACAGGATATCGTGGGTTCCATCCCAACCCTGACACGCTGTGGCTATGATATGTTAACTACCTTGCCTGGTATACAGGATGTCGTGGGTTCCATCCCAACCCTGACACGCTGTGGCTATGATATTTTAACTACCTCGCCTGGTATACAGGACATAGTGGGTTCCATCCCTACCCTGACGTCTGCTGTATATTTGGGGGTTTGCGTGTTCTCACCATGGTCGCGTGGATCTTTCTCCGGGTCCTCGGGTTTCCCCCTCCACATTTAGAATCGACACGCGTTTAGAGTGTGTGGCTGCAATAAATGTCCACGTGATGATAAGCAACTGCGTCATTTGCGGTAGCCAGGTCGCTTCTGAGAGAGAGAGCTACGTAGCTTAGTGGCCCTTGCCTGTTTAAAACAAAATAGTATCACAGTTTAGTTTTGAAGTGTAAAACCTCGCCTCTGCGCTCAGGAGCTCGTGGAACGTATTTATATATATACACACTCGCAGCACTCATACCTGCCGACCCTACGTCCACGTGCACACACCCGCCTGCATGCCAGCACGCCTGCTTCGTGTGACTTCTCCCTCTCACTTGTGCTGACCGTGGGGAGCCGTGGAAATCTGAGGAAGCACTAATTTCCTCGCCTCGGAAGCTCGTGCGAGTTACGTGTGGGCGCGATGAGCGGATGACCGGTTGTTGAAGGACATCGAAAAAGCCGCGGCGGCACGAGCAAGGCCACGGGCGGCAAAGTTGGATTTTCTTAAAGGCGTTTTCGGAAGCGCGCACTTTGACAGTTTCACGCTGGAAGTTGTGTGCAGCGCGAGGGGATGGGTCTCCTGCTGTCAGCTCTCCTCAGTTAAATGCGCCGTTGACACAAGTTCCTCCCGGGGTATTAGATAGAAGAGGCAAAACATAATTGTAAAGATCACGTTTACATTAAATTAGATACCCATAGAATATTAGATACCCCGTTGTGTGCATCACGGGGTATCACAACACACATATATAATCTGTGCATTCACACATTTTGTATATATGTGTTGAGCACATATACAGAATATCATATATAACACACATTATATATGTGTGTTGAGCGTGATTGTACAGTTCATAATTGCAGTACGACATCAATCCTTCTGCAATTATGGGTGCATCTTAGAACTTTTCCTTATCAACCACAGATAACATTGTTAAGCTTGCTCACGAAGTAAATGATTTTCAACTTAGTGGTCTTATCTAATGCTACGTAACTTGTCCAATGCCACACAACTCTCTGGAAAATATTCACAAGAAAGCCTACGATTTTAAATGGTATTGTGGATTATTTTACGTCGATTAAAATGTTGAGGATGGCATATTATTATTTTATGCCGCAGTTATGGTACAATTTTTATACCATGAATGATGTTCACTTCTGTAAAAAAAAAAAACTGAGCTTTTCCATCAGAAATTCTGTACAAATAACTTGAATATTGCTCCGTTAAACCATGGGCCAATATGTTGCAGCTCAGTCGTAGGGCCTTCTCGCAAATTATTTCCGTCACTATTAATAACGCACGCCTAAATGGCTAAACCCGCAGTGATTTTCCACATACGATGCACGTTTCTTTGTTGTCTCATCGCTCATAATATACACAAATAATGAACTCCACGTGCATGTTCCACATAAGTCGTGAGTAATTAAGCCGTCGCACCCACACTAACCCCACGGCCACATACATACACGCACACCCCTCGTGTAGGAATAATATTATACGCAGTGGGAGCAAGTCGATTCCTATTAACCCGTTTCCTATGCTCTCACATCTTTCGACCATTGCAAATAGACACATTTGTATTATTACAATTAAGGTATACATATATACACATGAAATAATGTATGTATGTTGAACTTCTTTTGCACCGTACATAGCCAACCGTGCTAATCGGAGGTGTGGGTGAAAGATAACATACTAAACACAAAAAAGCAGTGCTTAGAGGAATTCGTTGTCATTGTAGGTGATTTTAAAGTGCACAGCACCCAGTGGCTTCCTAACATTGGAAGGAGAAGAGCGTTCCAGACGGCCGCCACAGAAGTGCGTCTGAAAAGTGCCCGATGGCAGTGACCGTCTTTGTTAGCAACAAAAACCGTGTTTGCCTTTGAGTCTGATGACTGCTTTATGCATTTGTATATCTGCAAAGGGAATTCAGTGCTTTCTGAGATCTCAGCTGTCGCCCCCTCCCACCCCCCTCGGGTGATCATCGTCATTCTCTCTGCGTGCCCCCCCCCCCCCCACTGCTTTTGTCTTGTGGGCGGGCGGGCGGGCCCTGTGCAACCCGGACAACCCTGCAACCCACCCCCTCCCCCACCCCGTCCTTGTGTTGACGCGGGCAAGCGATTCGCAAATCGCCGAGCGCTTTTGCTCGCTCGCCTCGATATTTTAAGTGTCGTGCCAGAAAACTCTCGGGGCTTGTTGTGGCAAAGCGCAGCAAGAAGAAGAAGACGAAGAAAAAAAATCTGTTCCTGACAATATCAGGGCATACCGAGTGGGTTCATTAAAAAATAAATCCATGAAAAATGAGCGCGTAGTAAAACAACTGTATGGATTTTATATATACACCTTGTGCCAAATTTTGATTCAAGGCTTTCGTGACTGCAGGGATTCATATTCTTGGTTCTTTCGGTAAAGTCACGTGGAAGGGAAACAATAAAATAATAAAAATATAAAACAATAACATTCTCACGACGTTTCGACTGCAACACAAGCAATCATCATCAGATGTGAAAACAACAGCAAGAAAATTTGAAAAAAGTGGCGGTTTGTTTTTCTTCAATTTTTCTTGCTGTGGTTTTCACACCTGATGATGATTGCTTGTGTTGCAGTCGAAACGTCGTGAGAATTTTATTGTTTTATATTTTTACTATTTTATTGTTTACCTTGTGCCACTTGTGGCAGGAATGAGCCATCTGTGAAATGTCACCTCTCCTATGATATTTTTCACAGAAGTGCATTTCTCTATTAAGCCGCTTGAAAAGTGTTTGCTTCGGCAAAGGAGGAATAAATTGGCACCATAATGCGAGTTACAATCACGTGGGGATGGAGCGGTGGCACAACCGTTAACGGACCGATATTAGCCACGGCCACCGCTAAAATTGGTGAAGTGGGTGACCTGAACAGATCCTCGAGCCCCCCATCCACTCTGCTCCATTCCGCCTCCCCCAGTAGCCCCCCTCTTTGGCAACCTGCACTGACCAGAGTACTCAAGTATGTGGCAAAATCCCGTGACTGACATCTCTATGGATCGACAAAGTGCCCGTCTATCGTCACGGTTACTATTTTATTCATGTGTCTCTGCGGCCATGAGGGCATCCTGATCACGTTTCACGATTTTATTTCTTTGTAATGACTCTGGCCGCATACGTGTGGGAGCGACTATGAGATCTTAAGCAATGCGAGCCAATGGGAGATGTGATGTTTTATGACTTTAACGCATTTAAAAAGAAAATAGTTTCGTGAATCAAAATAGCTTATGATGACATCTATAATATATTTCGATTTAAAGCTTTCGTGACTGCAAGGATTCATCTTCTTTGGTTCTTTCGGTAAAGTCACGTAGAATGAGAATAAAATAATAAAATAACACAATAAAATTCTCACGACGTTTCGGCCACAACGCAGCGGCCGTCTTCAGAGCTTCAATTGAAGACAGAGCTTCAATTGAAGGTCTGTCGTCCCGACAGGTCTGTACCTTTCACCTGAAGACGGCCGCTTGCGTTGTGGCCGAAACGTCGTGAGAATTTTATTGTGTTACTTTATTATTTTATTTTCATTCTACGTGACTTTACTGAAAGAACCAAAGAAGATCTATAATATACATTCTGATTTTTGCTGTGGGTTATGATTTCATTATTTTTGTAGGTGTTCATTGTTTCTTTAAAATGTTCCTATGAATGATGGGTTATTTTATAGTCCTACCTTTGCTTTCATGTTTTGATTGCCTTACAGTTATACAGATTGAGTGTGGTTTGAATGGCCAACACTTATGTAGCTGGGCTATCTATGCTATATTTTCATGTTGCCAATTATAGTCATTCAGTCATTGTCAGCGTTTAACAAAGAACATTCCTGTCCAAAGAACAGTTCAGCTTTTTAGTTCATCCAATCAATGGTGTAGGTTTTGACGTGAAATTGACGGAGTTGTATGTAATTTTTTTTGCCAACTAAAATTGACATTAGTTTCACTCACCTTGACGATGAATGAAGAGCAATTATTTTGATTTCGTTTCAATACTCGGCTCTGCTTCCTCTCTCACAGCGAGTGCGTTCAACTTTGGTTCCGCTGACATTTGAAAGGACGCTGACATTTTTTCGTGAAATAACTCTTGCCCGAATGATTTTTACTGCCGGATGTTCGCCACTCGCTTTGATCGCAACCGCAGCCGTCGCCAAACTGCGTCCGACATTTTTAAGGCCTGCAGTCGCAAAAGGAAACCCGTTTTCATCATTTAAGCTGCACCAAATTCTGTATTTTTAAAGAGAGCAACTTACCGACGCTCGACTTAACAATTGCATAATCCTTTCCGAATTTACGAAAAAAAATGTATTTCATACAAAGGCCGTGCGTAACCGATTTACCCGACCCCAGCAAAACGCTCCTCCGAATGCAACGCCTCTCATCTTTCCTTCGTCTCTCCCCACTCGTTTTGTGTTCGGTTTTTATTCTCCCCCTTTTGCACGTAGACGCTGGAGGGCCGCATCGAGGTGCGCTCCTACGCCAAGGTGTCCTCGCTGACGCTGCGCGACGTGCAGTACACGGACGCCGGCGAGTACATGTGCATCGCCAACAACAATGTGGGGCAGGCATCGGCCGCCATGCACCTCGACGTGGCATGTAAGCCGGGCGCCTCGCGCGCGTACGTGCGTGTGTATGTTCGCGCGTGAGCATGGAGAATGAGGCTCGTGAAGGACGCTACCGGTCAGTTGGAGGCAGTCGCTCTCCAGCAACAACAGGGGGGCGGAGGAACAACAACGAGCGGACCGCCGGGCAGCTAAAATGCAGCGAGTTTGCACAGCTGGGGGCACAGGTGGTGCATCTGCAAGTCGTCTCGGTCAAGTCAACCCATGGCACCTGGGCCTGCCCTGTGACCTCCTGTCACCGAGCCTTCAATACTTGACGTGGCCTCAAAGTGCACCTGGCCTGGCACAGGTGCCGTGGGTGACGTCACCGTCACTTAGCGGCGAATGGCGCGGATATTGGTGTTGGCGGCATGTGAATTTATGATTTCGATTTCATTAATTTCAGCAGGAATGGCCCGATGAGCCGTTCGGCTCTATATTTCACGGGCGTCCTGCGACGGCACAGGTGTTTACACAGCACGGGCCTTAGTTACAGTCACGGCTGCATCGGTCGTGGGTACGTGCGCGTGCGCAGATGGGCCCAAGTTCGCCGGAGAGAAGGTGACTTACCACAGCTGGCCGAACAACGCGGTGAACGTGACGTGCGAGGTGCTCGCCAACCCGAAGGCGGCCGTGAGCTGGAGTCGCGACGGGCAGCCGATCCCCAGCGCCAACCTCACCAATGTGATCGTGCACAGCTTCCCCGGGTTCAGCGTGCTGGAGGTGAGCGAGGGGCTCCTTGGCGCTGGCGGCTGGCGGCTGCGCGTGGTGCGAGCGAGCGGGTATTTGTAAGGGCCTTGTGCTCCGCGTGAAAACATCAGCATTGGAGAAACGAAGACGGGCGGGCGGGCGGGCATCATGCTGGTCACACAGTCCCCTTGAGCTCCATGTTGGAGGCAGTTCTGCGGTGTCTCCTTCTGTGGACTTTGTTCTCCAACAAGAGGCTTTACTAAAAGAGCTCTGAATGGACGCTGTCGCAAGGAGCAACGCTGATGGAATTATTTGAACGAAGTTTTTTTGTTGTTAAATGGCGCATCTCATAAGACACTGTCCATCGTGTGTGTGGTTCTTCACAGATTACACCGGAGTCGCAGTCTGACTTTGGAAGCTACAACTGCGTCGCCGTCAACAACATTGCGAGCGAGTCCAAGGAGTTTGTTCTGGTGGAAGCAGGTACGTTTGTGTGTGCGCGCATGCGTGTGCCCGTGTGCGTGCCCGTGCGTCTGAGATTCACTCCCTTGCATGTCTTTAACCAGTCTGCATGAGGATTCACCGTATTAGCATGATCGTGTGTGTTTACCCAGAAATGCCTCTCACTGAGACCCTTCCAGGAGTTATTGTTGGAGTAGGTGACGATGTTGCTACGTGTTATCCCAATTGAGTAATTTACATGTAATTTTTGGGGGGGATTGGGGTGTTCAGCCATACCGGTGACATAGTTTTGTGTTTTTTCTGTCTAACCGTTCACTCCACCAGCGATTCAATGTATTGTCATGATTGCTGATCGCGATTTGATTCTAGAATGTTATCTTTTACGTCTTGGTTTTATTTGGTATTGGAACTTCTTAAAAATAGTTTTATTTCCAGAAAGGAAAAAAAACTATTCTCATTTTTTTGCACAACAAAACTGCGAGAACTGTAACACGATTTTTGTCCTGGGTAGTAAGTGTTATTTTCTAATTGCTTTTGCCTCAAAAGTATAGAAAAAGACTATTATTCCCACAAACTTTGCTTTTGTGACCAGAACTTTACGTGAAGGAATGACACAAATGCATACGTTTTGTCATTGAAAATAGGTACATTTCAAAATATAACTGTCCTGGTCACGAAAGCAAAGTTTATGGGGAATAATAGCCATTTTCTGTACTTTTGAGGCATAAGCAATTATAAAATAACACTTACTACCCAGGAACAAAAATATATATTTTTGTTACAAAGTGATCGATTCTGACATGCATGCCGAAGTGTATCTTGTGTACAATAATTAATGTAACCATTTATTTCAATAAGTAATATATTTTTTGCTGCACAGATTATTTTACGCAAGTTTATTATTTCTAAATGAGCATTTATAGTTGTATTTTTTTCCATTCTCTCGCTCTCTCAATGCGCCACGTCCTTTCTTAAAGACGTCATCCATCATAGACTTGCCACCTCCTCCTCATGTGCCATGCCGGCCTTCATAGGTGCTAGCTAACAGCACTTGCCCCAACAGTCTGCTAAGGCTATGCAGGGGATATTTGTCTTTGAAATCGAGATGCCCAGCTCTGTGATGTGTGTGTGTATGGAACTCTAGCTATACACTTGTGCTCGTGCCAACGTCGGTGTGCGTGCGCGTCCCTTGACTTTGTGCGTCAGTGCTTCTTCGCGGCGCTCTGCGACTCCCCGCCGTCTTTCCACCGCGCTCCGCTCGCGCACAGCCTGCTCGCAAAAATCGATGCGGTGCGACACCGCGCGGTGCCAACGCGGGAGCCAACCCCCCCCCTCCTCCTCCTCCTCCTCCTCCATCCCCACCCGTCGATGGCACCGAAGCCGCACTTGGCACCCACTCGCCGAGCCTTGACGTCGTTTCCCCCTTTCCCGCGCGTGTCCCCTCCCCGCCCCGCGCCACAGCCCTGCCGTCGGCCCCACAGTCGGTGAAGGCCACGGCGGTGTACTCCACGTCGGCGGAGATCACCCTGGAGGAGCCCGACTACACAGGCGGCGTGCCCATCCTGACGTACACAGTGCGCGTGCGTCCCGCCAACGGCCTGAGCGAGTGGACCAGCTACTACTTTGGCGGCAGCGAAAGTGGGTCGCCCGCCGCTCGTCTACTCGCTCGCTCGCTCGTTTGGTTTGACGGTCGCCGCTTCGCGCGCTTCCTGGCGCGCTTCTGCGGCCCTCTGGAGTGCTCTTCCTTTCGATATTAGAAAGCCGCTGGAGCGACGCACTTTTAAATAATCATCTAGACTAAACACTCGTTTTTTGAGAACTGCTTTTTGTGTTTAGTTTGTTGTTCTTCCCCCCCACACGTCCAATTAGCACGGTTGTCTACCCGTTTGTCCATTTCACATTTGCAGATTCCCGTAGGCAGTGACGCTAATTTTCTTGTGCTCCTGTTCAATTTTAATTGTTTGCGAAAAATAATTTTGGAATTATAAATTCCTGCGCAATGTGTAATTTGTGTAATTAATTTAACCAATTTACTTTTTTTATCTATATTTTTAATTGCAAAAATAATCATCCATAAGCCGTTAAATTTCGAATTTAATTTTAAATCAGTTTGGAATTATGAAAGTGCTTTGTTTGTAGATTACTTTTTAAATATATAAACATTCATATCTGAATGATAAATCACGAATCAACGTATAAATGTTGCAATAAATGCATGCAAAGTAATTAGATCTATAATGGAATTATATATATAAGTTTAAAAGTATCTAACTGTTGTTTTATCTCAGAATGTTGCATTTTGTAGTTTGCCTGCACTTTCAGTTTAAAATAGTGTCCGGTAAAGTAAATGAAACCGATCCTATATTCGAGATGTTCTCTGGTAAATGTACCTTTTTGAACTCAACGGTGTTGTCCTGCTTTGATATCCGATTGCCATCATTCTTTATGACAAGTACGCAGTCATTTCAGGACATCTCCTATCACTTCCTCATCACCTTTTGCCAACTTGCACTCATTTTTAAACCCGTTCAAACCGTTGCACCACGCAAATGAACACTTCCGCGAGAGAGCGAGAGGGAGACACACACATCGCGAAACTGGCATTGCCTAAGAAATTTCCAGCGGTTTGACGTTTCCCTCGGCCCGCAAGCGCAAGTAACACGACGCTTGAACGACACGGCACACCTTCCGTGGCCATCTTAGAAATACCCCTGCCTCTCTTTTTTGCGCGGCTGTGATGTCGGTTCATGCAGGAGACCACGGGTTTCACCCCCCCCCCCCCTTTCCCGGCCACTCCGCAATCATTCGGAGTGATTTGCCATTCTTTTACAATTATCTGGAACCAATAGCGCAGCCGGCATTGAACCCACCTCATATAAAAAGAAGGGAAGGGGGGGATCATGCAAGATAGAGTCCGCACTGCAGGAGGAATATGTATAGCGGCTAACAAGGTACTTGAACATACTTACTGTGAACAGTTAAATATATATTTTTTCCTAATTAGGTGAATTCATGTGTATATGCTGAAACTTCTTTTGCACCGTACATAGCCGACCGTGCTCATCGGAGGTGCGGGGGGGGGAAGGACGGCAAACTTAAACGCGTCACGATTATGACGTTGCAATCTACACGGGGCTCCTAAATAGGGTCAATAATTACGTTCTGCATTGAACCCTGAACTTTTCGATCTCCCCTCCCCCTTTGCACGGCATTACGCGTCGACGCTTCGCAGTCGTGTGACTGACGAATGGAGCGGATGCTCGGAATTCGGTGCACGCACGTCCGTCGATACGCAATCTGCGCAAGCACGGAAAGGCAGAGGGGGTGGGGCACGTTCGGGCTTCGGGATGCACGCTGCCGTATAGAGGCCGGACGTCACCCTGGGAGCTGCGCCTGACCACTGCTGTGTGAGCCGGGCCTGACCACAGCATCAAGCGGTGTGCAACAGATCATGGGGGATTGTGTAAATTGTTTCATCAGTCCGATGACAGGTTATTGAGAAAAGATATGCCGTAGTTTTGCGGCATCACTCAGACTTGATTTATTCTGGAGGAATCCGATGAGCTATGAAGCTATTTTTCACAGATCGCCAGTCGGCATATACCTCTCCCTCTGACTTCATACGCCTGCCTAATATGCCTGTACCGCTGAGTTTTCAATTAATTTTGTCCTGTCTGTGCTGTGGGTGCGTGTGTGTGCTAACGCGTGCGGAGCAGACACAGTGAAGGTGACCAACCTAGAGCCAAACACCCAGTACATGGCGGAGGTGTCGGCCCGTAACGGCGTCGGGGACGGTCCGTTCACCAAGCCAACCTTGTTCTACACGGAGCCCATCCGTAAGTCCGGCCTCCGGGCCTTGCTCCCTTCACGCCAGAGGACGTTCTGCCACTTAATCCTGCTTCACGTGATACTTGCCTGACGGGGCAGCCACTGGCAAAGAAAGTTATTTTGTGACTGTGCGACACAGCTGCTGTCGCTTGTGTTCTACGGCGTATCAGACTGAAATCGTTCAAGGCAATGTCACTGTCTGCGACGAATGCCTCAGTTTCTTACGGAGCAAAATTTAATTCAGCTTTTGTGGGTATTTTTTTTGTACTAGATTATCACAAGGTTAATTTATTTTTCATGCGTCACTATTCTAAATAATATTGGAACGTTTTTTGGTTAATTATTCACTTAATTGTGTTTAGAGTGGTTATAGTTTATTACTGGCGATTACAGTTGTCCGTATGAGTGTGCAGTGTTGTTTCAGAATTAGGAATCATGTTTCGTAGAGGAATGGGTGGAACACAGCCTGAAGTGATATTATTTGTGCTGATTATATAGAGTGCACGTTTATTCTACATCTCTGTGCATGACAACGATTGTGCCGATGAAAACAGCAAGGACCAATTTAATCCAAGGCCCCAAATGGTATTATTATTAATGATGCCATTTGGTATCTACGCATTCTTCACAATGAGTGGTGCCTTGAATTAGGTCGGTCCATGCTTTTGTCATCGGCACAATAATTATTAATAATACCATTAATAATACTACCATAATAATACCATTAATAATTATAATACCATAACAATACTATTATTAATAATATTAATAATAATTGTATTATACATTTTCGGGGGCCATTGTGGCATTATTCTGAAAACCCAACTGTCTTTAATTTGATCCGTTTGTGAGAATTGTTCATTGCAAAAAAAAGCAATTTGCATAAAAAATACTGTAAACTATTCCGATCTATCCACTGGAGCATCTTTAAATGAATTTATTTTTAATATTTTAGCCATGGTTGGATTTGACAGTTAACATTAAATTGTAATCTTGGTGGACAAGACTGGTGAAGGAATGGCAATCATAGGAGAGAGAAAGCATCCAAGAGGATGACCCTGTGGTGTGGTGACCTCTGTGGTGTGGCGACCTCTGTGGTGTGGTGACCTCTGTGGTGACCTCTGTGGTGTGGCGACCTCTGTGATGCGACGACCTCTGTGGTGTGGTGACCTCTAGTGTGGCGACCTCTGTGGTGTGGCGACCTCTGTGGTGTGGTGACCTCTGTGGTGTGGCGACCTCTGTGGTGTGGTGACCTCTGTGGTGTGGTGACCTCTGTGGTGTGGCGACCTCTGTGATGTGGTGACCTCTGTGGTGTGGTGACCTCTGTGGTGTGGTGACCTCTGTGGTGTGGTGACCTCTGTAGTGTGGCGACCTCTGTGGTGTGGCGACCTCTATGATGTGGCGACCTCTGTGGTGTGGTGACCTCTGTGGTGTGGTGATGGAGAGATGATACCATGTGCAGGAGCGAGCTCGGTTCTGGCATTGCAGCACCGCAAATGATGGTGGCTGGGTTGAGTGGCCTTCATCCAGCAGTGAATAGGAAATGGTGACCGTGATGCTGATGAACACACGTTACGTACGTTAGCTGCTATGCACATAACGATTCACAGATGAATGTGACAGTATACATGAGCAGTGATCCAAACGCGACTCAACCCGAGACAAAAATAATTCCTGAATTTAATCGTGACCATGAATCACAACACTACCTCAAATGTGTGAGATGGAAGGGTTGAATCATCAGTACGTGACAGTTAATTGCACGTGTATTCATTAATTCGAATATTGCCATTTGTTTATTCAGGAAAACCTGTGATTCAAAAATCTTTTTGTTCAGGAATTGCTGGCATTGGCATATTTGTCCGATTCCAGTATTGAGTGTTTTTTTATGTTGTGCTTAACGGTGCAGCAGAGTGGTTCGCCATCCCAAGTGGTCATGTGACCTAAGCGTTATGCCATTAAAAAGTTGAATACCCTAGCCACAAAGCATTACCTAAAACGTACACTTTGCTCCAATGCACTTTCATTCAAGATGCCGTGGCCTTACATTGCAAGATAATTATCTCCTTGTGTGTTATGCTGAAATCGTTCAAAATTAGAAAAGGCACCAACAAATGGCATTGTTATAATATGAAATAACACATTTTAACAACACCTGGCTGAACGGCAACAATTGTCAATGGGAGTACAACGCAAAATGCAACAGTCTTGAACGCCTACTTACAAGAACACCTTTTCATTTGTATGCAAATGCACGTGCCATATTATCACGATTAATCTAAGAGAGAGAAAGAGGGACGGTTTCAGAAGATGCAGTGTTCCTTGCGTAGGCTTAATAATGAATGAATATCAATCTCATATATGGCGTTGGGACTTCTATCCTATTTAATTACCTTTGGAGCTCCAAGCTCATCCAGTCATTGTTGCGACAAATGTATGCTCTTGATTGCTTCCTCATTAAGCGTTCGTGAGCACTCATCTTGATAGTCAATTCAAACAAGAAAATAAAATTTAAAAAATGATACGGCTGCAAAAGTGCTCAATTCGGAATACGGTGCTCGTAAGGAAGTGCGCCAAAAAAATGTCACACGGGCACCTACAGAGAGCGCATTGTTGTTATCGTCACTGTCACCTTGGGGAGTGGAGGAGTGGTGGAATGGTTAGTGTACTGTACTGCAGGCCGGTGACCTGAGTTCGATTCCAAGCTCACGTCGGTGGCGAGTGATATCTGAACCAGTCCTACCCCACCCCCTCCCTTTCGCCGCTTTCACCAAACCACATTGACCAGCATGGTGAAGTATGGTCAAAATATCCCCATGGCAGACACGGCATGAGGGGTGACCTTCATCCAAACGATTTAAAGGGCTTTAAATCGTTTGTATTGTCTTACGATAATTAATAATGATTAGTAACAACACAATGATCAATTCGTCACGAATGTGCAAATCGCTCGGTTTCACCCAAGATCTCGAAACCTAAACCAGGTTGAGCTCAGACAACGCTTGGGATTGGCGACCGCGATGCGTGCAGGGTACGGTGATACCCCGATTTACGTCTGCACCCTTTTAGCGCCATTCCACAAGAACGCGTCGTCACTTTATTATTATCATTACCGCGCCCGGTTTCGCCTCGCCTCAACCCCACTCGCTCACGTCACCAGCGGCGCCGTCCGTCCCTTTCTCGTTATCCGTCACCTCTCAGCCTTCGCCACCATCACCACCACCACCACCCACGACTACTACTGCCCTGTAAGTCGCTTCGATTGACTTCATCTCGATATTCATCATCGCGCCTTTCAGGAACACATCCCCCCCCCGATGTAAACCGGGAGGGAGGCATCGCTGTATCGGGCGCTATAGGCTGTGGGGCCACGTGGCGGGCAAGAGAGGGCAGCGCATCAAAACCCATTGGTGTCCCGTAACATCTGTTCTCCCGCGTCTGTGCTCCCCACTTTCACCGGCCCGCACTGACCGGCGGTGGTGTTGCGCTCGACACCCACTCCACGTGACCCACCACGGTGTGGGCCGGGGGTGGGTGGAGGGACATCCCTCGTTTTCAAATTTCGCAAAACATTGTCGCTGGCATGTTATGCCAAAATACTTTTTTTTTTTACGGGAGCAAAAAGAGTTGGAACAAAAACGATCCCTTTGCAGGGTGACAGTGAGCCAGAGCGATTTTGGCAATGACAAGCAAAACATAAACGTCGCCTCTGCCAACACTTCTTAACTTTGTGTGGTTGATTTTTAGTTCTATTCGGTAAAGTCACGTAGGTAAAAAATACAATAACAAAAATCACGACGTTTCGGCCACAACACAAGTGGCCTTCATCAGGTGAAGGGACCGTGCTGTCATGATGAGGACAGCGTTGGAGTGAAAACAGCCAAGTCCAGGGCGCGTCCTTTAAGCTGTGTGGGAGGAAGCAAAAACGCTTTGACAAAGGAATTAACATAAAAATGAGCACGATGTACGTAGGAGGGGTATGGACCATGATGGACCAGGAGCGGGTGGGGACCATGACGGACCAGCAGCGGGGGGGGGGGGGGGGGGGGGGGAGAGTGAGTGAGTGGAGTGAGTAAGTGATTGGAGTGAGTAAGTGATTGGAGTGAGTGAGTGGAGTGAGTGAGTGGAGTGGAGTGAGTGGAGTGAGTAAGTGAGTGGAGTGAGTGGAGTGAGTGAGTGGAGTGAGTGAGTGGAGTGAGTAAGTGAGTGGAGTGAGTGAGTGAGTGGAGTGAGTGAGTGAGTGGAGTGAGTGAGTGGAGTGAGTGAGTGGAGTGAGTGGAGTGAGTGAGTGGAGTGAGTGGAGTGAGTGGAGTGAGTAAGTGAGTGGAGTGAGTGGAGTGAGTGAGTGGAGTGAGTGAGTGAAGTGAGTGAGTGAGCGAGTGGAGTGAGTGGAGTGAGTGAGTGGAGAGAAATAAGCAGTTGTGAAAGTTTGGGATACCACTACTTGAAAAAATATATTGTACCATTGAAAATTAGTTTAATGTTTGGTTTGATTTAGAACATGTTTCAATGATTGCTTAATTTGAAACCATCCTCTCGGTTGAAATTGTGTCTGTGTTTGTAAATCTGAATTGCCTCGTGGACAAATCTCTGATTAAAAAAACCCGTGGGTTTTGCGTCCTTTAAGCTGTGTGTGAGGAAACAAAACGCTTTGACAAAGGAATTAGCATAAATATGAGCATGATGTACGTAGGAGGTACATGGACCATGATGGACCAGGAGCGGGTGGGGACCATGACGGACCAGCAGCGGGAGGGGGGGGGGAGTAGAGTGAGTTGGAGTGAGTGGAGTGAGTGGAGTGAGTGAGTGGAGTGAGTGAGTGGAGTGAGTGAGTGGAGTGAGTGAGTGGAGTGAGTGAGCGGAGAGAAATAAGCAGCTGTGAAAGTTTGGGATACCACTACTTGAAAAAAATATACTGTCCCATTGAAAATAAGTTTAATGTTTGGTTTGATTTAGAACATCTTTCCAATGATTGCTTAATTTGAAACCATCCTCTCGGTTGAAATTGTGTCTGTGTTTGTAAATCTGAATTATTATTTTATTTGTTACCTACGTGACTTTACCGAATAGAACCAAAGAGTATGGATCCTTGCAGTCACGAAAGCTTCAAATCTAGAATTGTTTGATTTTTGTTCTGATAATTATTCATTTCCCATGCCTCTCCCTCCCTCCGTCCCTCTGTCCTTCTCTCTGCCCCCCCCCCCACCCCATTCTGTCTCCCGACTTGTAATCTAGTGTCTTCATACCGTTTCAGTAAGTAGCCTTGTGTGTCGCTTTATGCCATCGGCGCACAAGCGTTAAGCAGTAGCATTGTGCGTCTTAAACACAACACCACGGATCATTGCGCTTTAGCTCTGGTAGCAGCCTCTTGAATTATACGACCGCCCAGTTCCATCTCTCTGCATCAAGCTTGAACAGGTGAAGCTTTTGGTCTCATTCCTCCCTGAGCCTTGGGCTTCCCAAGAGTCGATCTTTTTTCTTCTCCCCATTGTGCCTTGTGGCTGACGTTGGCTACTGAGCGTGGCCATTACACGGTTACCTGCATGCGTGTGGGAGGAAGATTTGCACATTGTGAAACATTTTATGGAATGATCTATACAACAAAGTCAGTGATCCCCCGGTTTTTTTAGCCTCTAAAATTGCCGGGTGAATTCCTTTCAGCAAGCGCCTGTTAAAGCCAGCGTGGCACGTGGATAGTTAACGTGGCCCCAGTGCCACAACCGGCCACCTCCCGTTTCCCCAATGCCAATGTATTTATTGCGTGGCATTGGGTAATACATTTTTGGCTGAGTTGACCTAGATGAAGCCGACAACAGTTTCAGACACCGATTTACAAGTGGTGTGCATCACGGCCACAAATTGAGCCTGGAATCCCTGGGATGGTAGCACGGCACGCTAACCATTACGCCGCTACGTAATCTATATGAACACGTGCCTCATATATTCCCATAAGCACGTATATTAGAGATGTAACAATACATCGACTCATCAATAGCTGTACATTCTCAAGGGTCAGGATACATGCGTCAAATTGCGTGTGTAAACATCGCCGTCGTGTTTTGTTTCACGTATTCAAATAATTTTATAACATTTGCAATTAGGGCACGGACACCAACTAATGTACAAACGAGATTGGGGATAATCAATTATTGCGTCTAAATCACCGAATTTTTAGGGAACTTTCCATTCATTTAGGCAGGAACGCTTGCTCTGGGCAGAACGTGCAATGCCAATTGCTTGTGTGCCGTGCGGTTGAGCGTTTTTGTGTTTTTTTTAAAGCGGGGACTTTGTGTGAGCGCAGCTCGCGGATGCAGAACGGTCCCCGTGTTTTTGCAAGCATCTGTTGGGGTGCAACTGCAGGCACTGATGTGCCTCGCATTGGCAATCGTGGTCGTTTTGATTCTCAAGAGGCTTAACAAACCAAGCAGCAGGCTTTGTGCGTACGCACTCATCATTCCACCTCCCACTTTCTGTGCCTAACCACCGCCCACCCAGCTTTGCTTTCATGTGTGGTGTGATCATGAGTTTTTACACGTCTGTGACCATGAAGAGTTGATTTATCTTTTTAATGCGATTACATTAACATATATGAAATGGAACAAATATGAAATACACTTCTTTTTTAAAAATCAGGTATTAGGAGGAGGTCGGGTGGGTACAGGCGACGTCGGACCGCTGAGCTCCTCGAATAAAATCCAGGTTCATGTAGCTGTGATTAAACCAGGTTCTGTGAGTTGATGATCTCAGCCTGGTCACTAATAACTGGGCATATATATAAACACACAAGCACATCGTTTGGTTATTCACGTAATTTGGATTAATACCAACTGTTGAGAATTCAAACATTGGTATGACTGTCATACGACAAACTAAAATATGATTCGTATTTCGTTTCTGTTTGGTTAGATCTTGGAGGTACATGGGTAATGTTTTCGCCATGTAACCCTCCACCACCCAAAAATAAAATCAAGTTGTCACGTGATGGGAAAATATGCCATTTGATTGATCGTTTTATCATAAAATCTGTAGAAATGTTTAAAATGCTAGCAAAACGTTAACAATGTGTATTGTACAACGATTTGCTGGAGATGACATCCCAGCGTCATCAGGTGTTCACAAAAATGTCCGCTGACGTGACAGCTGAACTTTTAATATTCACGTGAAACTTGCATCAGAAAACATATCATTTTATGAAAGCGTAATTCTCATCAGGCCTCGTGGTGTAAGCGATTGCAGTCTCCAACTATTATCATCCATCTTCTTTGGTTCTTTCGGTAAAGTCACGTAGAATGAGAATAAAATAATAAATTGATAAAATAAAATAACACAATAATATTCCCACGACGTTTCGGCCACAACACAAGCGGCCTCAACTTTGAGGCTTAAAGGTCGTGATCTGAATGTGGCTTTTTCACTCCAGCGCTGTCCTACCAGACAGTCTCGTCCCTTCACCTCATGAAGGCCGCTTGTGTTGTGGCCGAAACGTCGTGAGAATATTATCGTGTTATTTTATTTTATCAATTTATTATTTTATTCTCATTCTACGTGACTTTACCGAAAGAACCAAAGAAGATGAATCATTGCAGTCACGAAAGCTTTAAATCGAAATTTATTATCATCCACTCGGGTTTCTCTGGCCTCTGTTGTTTATGCGATTTTAAAAAAGGGCCATTTCTTTTTTTACACTTTTAAGACCACCCCCCCAGCATTATTGTACGTACATATGTTGAACTCTTTTTGCACCGTACGTAGCCAACCGCGCTAATCGGAAGTGCGGTTTGTATGTACGTATTTTGAACTCCTTTCGTGCTGTACGTAGCCAACCGTGCTATTTGGGAGGAGCAGGGGAAGGGCAAAACATTAAACACTGAAAGCAGTTCACATTTATAATTGACAGATTTTTATTTTTGGTAAATTGCGCACCACTGCCAGTGGAGCATCGCTAAATTGTTTGTGCTAACATCGATTATCTGTTATTGCTGCACGGCACTTTGGCTGTGCGTACGAACTAGGATTTTGAACAAACCCCCAAAAATATTCAACATTCTTTCATGTGCGACACGGCGAACAATACGTAATTTTAAAGCTAGAGTTGTGGCATTTCAGTTTTAGCAGAATTTACAATATTCATAAATAGTGTGCTTTACTTTTCATGGCAACTAAGGGCTCCAGGAGCTATTAAATCCGTCTTCTTCAGTACAATCTTGGCAAACTTTAGATTTGCTCTAAACATCTTTCTCAGAAGTATGCAGCATCAAGCCATTCCTCTTCCGCTGCCTGTTTTTTGCAATGAAAACAACGCATCCTAACATTCGCTCGCTCCGCTTTTGTGTGAAGCAAAAAGCCAGAGGGGGGACGCCTTGAAATGAAGCATCGCACAAAGAGTGAAATAAAAAAACTCCTGCTTTTTTTTTATAATAATTTGAAGCTGCTCGCAGACCTTCTCGCGATGGACCACAGTATTTCGACGAAAGGGTTCTTCCACGCTCGCATGCCCTCTTTGCTGGCCGGCTCCTGGGGAAAGATGTGCGCTTCGTGAGCTATCGGTGTGGCAGAGCATGCGCCGTTGATCTCACACACCCCGCTAAGACTATAGAAACTTGAAACAAAACCCGCTTGTTTGAATTATGGAACTCTCCAATTCATTCACTTGACAATTTTCCTTCTCAAGTGGACACAGCCGCGCTCCCTTCAGTCGATCGCTCTCAAGAGGTCATCGTGATCTCGGAGGGGTTTGCACGCGGCCAAGCTTGGCCAAGAGCATCGGCAGCAGTTGCGTCCGACGGCTGGAACGGAGCGTTGAAGCCTTTTCCGAGTAGTCTCGTTGGGCCTGGCAAAGACGTCGCCAGCGGCGGCTTCCAGCTCAAACGAGCCATCCGCAGCGCCGATGAGGTTCAAACCGGAGCACCACGTAAGTCCTTTTTCAACAGGATCTGCTCACACTGGCACTGTATACCACAGACGTATTATCTACATTAAGTGCATTACGCATTCTTTAAAATTTGATTGTCATTTGGAGGGGGGGGGGGGGGGGGCAGGTCAGGGAAAAAAAAATACTTCTCATTATTTAATTGATACTTTTAAACTTGTAATCAGCCGATATGTGTTTTGCTTTTTAACAACTGTAGTCGATAGTCCAAGTACCCATCCAACCACGGGTGACCTCGACGCCACCGATGATTCCACGGTGCCCCAGTCACATGACGTCACAAGTGACAGATCCCCGTCACCAACGTGGGGTGGTGACGAGGCCCCCGTTGGCACCACCGCAGACACAGCGTCGCAAACCTCACCGGAGTCTCCCACGGCACAGGGAGGCCCGTTTCCCTCGACCGCTGAGCTAGCTGTTGTGTCGGAGCCTCCCACTGCCGCAGCGCAAGGAGTAGCCACAACACAAGGAGCAGCCACGACACAAGAAGAAGCCACAACACAAGAAGAAGCCACAACACAAGAAGAAGCCACAACACAAGAAGAAGCCACAACACAAGAAGAAGCCACAACACAAGAAGAAGCCACAACACAAGAAGAAGCCACAACACAAGAAGAAGCCACAACACAAGAAGAAGCCACAACACAAGAAGCAACAGCGCAAGAAGCTGTGACCCTCTCAAGTGTGACTGAAGCAATCCCCGCGACATCTCCAAGTGCCCCTGAGCACACCGTGCGAATTGAAGGAACCATGGCTGAATATTCTTCATCTGCCGAGCCAACAGCATCCTCACCACCATCCCCGTCCACGCAGCGCACGGCGACCGCGCCGGACGGCCTTGCTTTTGCTTCCGTGACGCCTTCCGAGGTGGCAACTACCCATGGCGTGGGAGATGGTTCAGCCGGTACCACGGCCACTGTGCCCACATTGACGGATCTCACAGGGCCGCCCCCACGGTTCAGCGGCACGACAGAGCTCCCGGCTTCCACGGCAGCGTCTGGCAACTCCGCCACCGCCGCCCCCTCCCTCGATGTCACGACGGATGCGCCGCCGCTCGGCCACTTCACGGCCTCGGAGCCTCCTCCGAGTCCCAGTGCCCCGTCTCCGTCCACCGCCGTCGCCGCGGCCGTTGAGGTCCTCAATTACACGGTGACATCCGCCGCTCCTCCTGGCACCGACGATGCCACCCGGTCCGAGCTTTCGGCCAGCACCGTAGCCGGGCACGTCACAGAGCCCGTGACGGAGAGGGCGACGGAGAGAAGCACTCTTGTCGGCGGGATCGTCCCATTCCGTGACTCTCTTGCGGAGTCCGTCTCGCAAACCACGCTCGTGCCGGTCGCCGAGGTCATCGTGCCGGCGAGCGCCGCACCGCCAAACCAAAACCTGCAGGCCGTTCCTGCGCCGGGGCATGCGGCGACGATGGCGACGACGACGCCGGCTTCCGCGGGGAGCGTCTTTGCTGTCACCGTCTCGGAGTTGCTGGGGTCTGGTCCTGTGTGTAAGTGATGCTTTAATGCATTGCGCTGTGTGCTTGAGCTTCTTTCTCATTCTTTCGTGAAATAAAATTTGCAGAGGCTGCGGAACTGCTCGAGTAGAACTGTGAAAAAAATATATCTGCGCTATCTGGCTGTGTTTCTGCAAAAGCACAGCTGACGTTAGCTTAAAAAGTGACGGCATGCGACCCATCAACATTGGCATGTATAGGGCGAACACTGAAATAATTGACCGACTGGAACTCGAAATGCTAATTAAAAACACGCCGTTCGTTAAATTAAAATAATTTCAGCTTTGCGTTTCTTCACATCAGCACTGCTCAACTTATTCTGCCTGATTTGGGAAGACGGTAATTTCAGTTTAATGACCTTTTTGTGTAATTCGCAGCGGCAGCAATTCTTCTCTGTGAATATCTCTCTTTCATGCAACCTCCTGAGCGCATATACTGCACAAAGCCAACGTGATTTCTGCAAAGTCACAAATCCTCTGCAGACGTTTAATACAGCGTCATCAAGCAATGCTTGCTTTTGGAGATTTGGATTGTGATATATAGCGTCAAAGGGATAATGAATTTTGGAAAAATATAATTAAAATATATTAACCGCTAGCATGAAACTCGATTAAAAATGAACAATGATAAAATGACTAATAGTTCTTGGAACGATTGCTGCCTAGCTCTATCACAATTATTTTGATATTAGTGGTCACGCATGCCAACTTGAAAAGGTTATTGAGCCTCAAATTCATTAATACTTCAGATTTCTCGGCATCTAAAGTAATCTACGCAATGACTAACGCTAATGTGTTGCTTACCGAAATTGAGACGGTGTCGCGTAATTGCAACGAATGTTATCTGACATTGCGGGGTGACAAATTAATGTTGATCCGAAAGTGCCTGCCGCTTAAACTCTGCGTGACAAATTCTGCCAATTTTTTTTGTATTTTCCGAAGCTCTTTCATAGCCTGGGCTGTCAGCTCCACAATACGTGTCAATCTTGCCCACGTTGCCCGAGTGCCCTTTTATTTCGTGCCTCCGCACAAAGGCGGCGGAAGGCCACAGGGCAATGCGCTTAGCCCACTTGGGTCGGCATTAACGCTAAAAAAATAAATCGCACTTGGCTGATTTACCGCCATCTCTGCTTGTAAACGGGGGGGAGGGGACAGGATATTTTTAAAAAAGATATTTCAGGCCGTGCGAGGGTACTTCCCTTTCGAATACATGCACCATGCATTCCAAGAGCTTGCTTGCCTTACGCTGCAGTGATGGGCTTATATATATTGGACGTTCATCACTCGTCTGAAATTCTTTATGGCAGCGCTATATTCATATAAGATCAAAAAAAATATTTGCGTTTTTGTTTAACCTTCACTGAGCCGCATTCATCAAAATACTAACTTTAAGCGTGCAGTGCATGGCATGGTGCTCTCAATAATATTAGATCCACTGCCATAATTTTTTTCTGTATAAAAAACTAAACCAAGTATCATGTGACTTCCTCCCCCGTGTTTGCAGCCTCGTCGGTTAAAGGTCCAATAAAGTCCAGTAAGTGCGAGGTGTCGGGTGCTTGCACGTGGCTGGCACGTGCGTGCGTGTGTGCACCCCTCGGTGCTCGCATGAGCTCCTTTCACAAGGTGTGGCCACCTTCAGGGACGGCTCGTAGACTGCCTCTTTTGAGTATCAAAAGTCCCATCGCTTTTGTTGTTGCCATTGTTGTTGCTTCATACGCATTATAATTCGTGCGGGCTTGCATCCGGAAGGTTCGTGAGTTTCAAGTCCCCCGGCTGTGGGTCAACTCCTCGGCCCTTTCCTTGCCTCTGCAAGTCAATAAAATGAACCCCGGAAATCAACAATGGTTGTCCCGTGAAAAGATTCACTGGCCCCACCCATGCCATAGAAACATGGAATCTCCACCACCGGCTCAGGAATGAGAATGGGAAAATTAGTACCGCTCCACGCTCAATTGAGCAGCTTTATGCGGAATTCTATTTGGGACATTGGCGAATTAACTTGTGAGCCCATGTGACATCGTCATCATCATCCCACATCTCCGCAAAGTGGTTTGCATAATTCGTGCCGGTGACCGGCTGCGGGGGCCCAGCCAATGGACGCTCGGTGCCTTCGACCGGCCTCTCCGCGTGGCCATCGGCAGCGCGCTGCTGCCGCGTGCGTCCTCTGTTGCTACACAGCCGCCATGTGTGTACGTACGTACGCACGCACTGTACGTATGTTGAACTTCTTTCGCGCCGTACGTAGCCAACCGTGCTAATCGGAGGTGCGGGGGGAAGGACAACAAACTCGACACTAAAAGCAGTTTGTAAGAAGTGAGTTTTCAACCTAGATGATTTGAAAGTGCATAGCTCCAGTGGCTTCCTACTATCAGGAAGGGAGAGCGTTCCAGACGGCCGCAGAAACACAGCTGCGTGTGGCTGATCGCTACGCCTCCTTTCTAGCAGCCCAAAAGGCGTGGGATTGGGCCGGCTTTTTTTAGAGTGTGTGGCCATGCAGTCGAAAATTGGCGTCTCCGGGCTTGGGCTGCTCCACAGATGACATTTGATGTCGCCCCGGCTTTCGGAATAATGCTGCCGCGCAAGGGGATCGGCGGGTCTATTCAGTGTGTGTGCGCGTGTGCTGCTGGATTGGTGTTGGTTTTTTTGCACCGTTTTGGCGTTTGTTTGGATTCAACCGGGCGCTCGTTGCTTCTTGCCCGTTTGAGATGGAGTGCGGAGAGCGTCCCCCCCCCCCCCCCCCCCCCACCGGCCGTGTGACAGCTTGAATGGATACTCTTTGGTTCTTTCGGTAAAGTCACGTAGATATAAAATGAATCAATCACGACGTTTCGATCGCAACACAACAAAGCGGCCGTCTTCACCGATCGCAACACAACAAAGCGGCCGTCTTCACCTGAAGACGGCCGCTTTGTTGTGTTGCGATCGAAACGTCGCGATCTATTAAATTTCTACCTGCGTGACTTCACCGAAAGAACCGTAGAGTATGGATTCCTGCAGTCACGCAAGCTTCAAATCAAGCTTGAATGGAGTTTAGCCGCTCGTGCTCCGTTGGCATCGGGGATGGGTGGCACGCGCGCGTATTCTTGGGTTTCATCAGGCAAGCGCTGCAATGCAGCTTCATCCGGGATGCGGCGACGGTGCAGCTCCGCGCACCGGTCAGCATCGCAGGGGCCTCCAGCGTCCGCTGTCTGTAACACGCGCCCACCGCACTATGTCAAACCGTGGACCAGTCGTGCGATGGTAACAAAAAATATATATATATAAATGAATTTGTCACGTTGCATTGTGTGTGCTGTTCATTTACAGGATGTGCATAATGTGCTATTTTTAATGACAGGTTACGGAATATAATACAGTTTATGCTTGGCTGCCGCTTGCATCAATGTATAAAATAGATTTATTGTTTATGTATGCATACTGTTCGTGTTAAATATATTTTTTAAATGCTACACCCGGAGAAAAGCTAACTTGGCAGTCTGCAAAGCGTAGTGTCCGTTCCGCCTTTTGTTCCCGCCTTACCTCAGAATCTTTAGCAGGATCCATACTCAGACTGGAGGAACCCGATGAGCCATGAAGCTCTTTTTCGCAGATGTCCAGTATGGGCGGGTCAGAGCTGCCCTCCTGTAACAACTATAATTGTGCATAGAGCCAGAGGACCCAACCCGCACCAAATCCTCGCTTAAAATCAATGCAAGCGGTTGCCTTTCAAGAAGGCAACAATTGAGATCAACAAACTTGAAATTCCCCGTTATGCTTCAGTAACAGTTGCATAAACACAACAGTTGTGTTCCTGAGGGAAAAAGCCCTGCACAGCAAGACCCGCATATTAACGATCTTGTCAGACGCCCATGGCATCTGCTCCCTCTGTTTGTCTTCAGCCGGGTGCAGCGTTATTGTGTCCACAGTTCCTCGGCCAAGGCTTGTTTGCTATATATATATATATTTTTGCAAACTCAAATATTGTTGCGCTCTAACAGAAAAAAATCGAGTTGCTGCGAATTGACAGTGTTCGCGCTGTTGAAATGCGTTTAATAAGGAAATTTAATGGATTCCGCTGGAGGAAGATGGAGCGGCGTTAATAATCTCTGAGGATGGACCGGTAGATTTCGAGGAAAATAGATTCAGGCGGCGGAGGCAGAATGCTCATTGTCTATTCAAAGCGTGCCATGATTTATAAAGCAGCACTAATGCCAGCATTATTTTTTGGTTTATTGCAAAATATTTTACCTCGAAAATCCCTTGCGATGGAACATCTCGTTTGAAAAGAGGAGTGTCCATTTTGGGTGTTATATTTTTGTCAACAAAACATATTTTGTTGCAATTTAAATGCGACGGCTCCTCAAAGACACTGCACGAAACGGCGATGCAGACGTGTTTTCATTGCTTGCTGCCAAGTTAATCAACCTCTGCGTGTTGTGGTACCCTTCGTGCGCGTGCCAGTGTGTGTTAGTTAACCCTTTGTTCATTCCAGCTTGATGTTTCTTTGCTTTTTTGTGTTTTTTTGTTGTTCCCATGCGCCGTTCAAAACCTCCAAAATGTACCAAAACCAACCCCCTCCTCCTACCACCACCAATCATCATGTGATCATGTGACCCATCACATGGTTTGCGTTGTCATGGTGATGGTGATGTCCTGGTGTCTGCATCGCTGCTAAACAGGAGGTAAAAAAAATAGAAAAAATAAAGACGTCAATTAATTAAATACTCGCCTATATATTTAAACACATTTAAAACTTAATTTAAAATGTTTTTTTTCATGTGCGCGGTTATGTTTAATATTTGTATATGCCTGTTAAACTATACTTTTATATTTTTTTTATTTAAAGCTTTCGTGACTGCAGTAATTCATATTCTTAGCTCTTTCGGTAAAGTCACGTTGAAGGGAAACAATAAAATAATAAAATATATTTTAAACAATTAAATAATAAAATATATTTTGCGGGTATATTTTATTATTTCATTGTTTACCTTCAACGTGACTTTACCGAAAGAGCTAAGCATATACTTTTATATCTTAAGCTGTTTTTTTCTTTGATGTTTCATTGAGGGCAGGTTTATATAATTTGCATATTATTAACATTATATAATATATTGCAATGCAGCTTAGCATTTAAATACATTCCCAAGATGCTACATGGCTTTATTATGCAAAACTCCATGTAAAATTGCTTTAATATAAATTGCTTTTAACGAAAAATAATTCCGTTATTTCTACAAGCAATGTCTTGTTTATATATATAGGACAAATGAATTAACTATAATTCCGTTGACTTGAATTTTATATTTTCCACCACCACATTTTTTAATCCTCATGCATTGAATATCGCCCGTTGGAAGTAATTTTTGTGTAAAAATACGAATTTTAAACATTTGTATTATTCACCCTAAGGATGAGTTTAGCCCCTATTCTTAATTAAATGAAGCAAATTCTGTTTTTTGCATGTTGCTCTGTAGACGAGGGTGACCAGACATTCTCCCGCGTCTGTTCTGAGTCTCTTTGAATCTTTGCCAGAATGACTCTTTAAGCAAAAAAAATGATATCATTGGTTTTAATTAATGACATTTCTTTCCACTCACTATATGCTTTGAAGTGTCATTAGATATTACAAGTATAACACACGATACCCCGCCCTCTCGCCACTAAAAAAAACACCCAACCCTCAATACTCCCTGCCATAGTTTTGGATAGCGTTGCAACCTCACTCTCTCAACGAATTCTGCCTTTGCTGTCGCAATTCCTCGGCACTTCCAAAATTTTACCGTGGAATTTTCCTACCCTTTCTGGATTGCACATTTCCCCTGGGCGGTGCCTTGCTTTAAAATAAAGTGTATATATTAAAAAAGAGATACTTATGGTTTTAATTTTTAGTTTAACGTTTGATGCACGGCAGTTTAATAATATGCCAAGCCTTGTTTAATTAAACTACAATAGCGGTGATAATTTGTGGATATTCCCAGTTGATGGGTTCCATTATGTTGAGTTATTATTGCTCATTTTTTCATTAAATTGTAAAGATATTTTCTAAATAACAGTGTTGCGTTTTTCCAGCTCCATTACCCGGCACCATTCAATTTATATTTTCAAGTTTACCAATCAGCATCTTATACATGCATTACCCTCAAACATTAAATGTGAGTGGCTGGTGCAAACAATGGTAAACGTTTAATAATTGAATGTTGCACGGGAATTGGATCTTGAGAATCCTTGATGCCAGGAATGTTCTGGGACAGTCTGTTTTTGATTCCGCTACGGCTTAATCTATCGGAAAAAATGGATCATCCTGCGGCTATTGCCCATTAGGTACGTGTGAGATGGTGACAACAGCTTTGCAATGGAGCTGTGGATGATTCATTTTTTTTTGCCAGGGTGATTTTGATGTTGATCCAAACGTGAAGCAAGTTTTGCATTAACAACTAACTCTTAAATTTTGATTTAAAGCTTTCGTGACTGCAGGGATTCATATTCTTGGTTCTTTCGGTAATGTCAAGTAGAAGGGAAACAATAAAATATGAAAAATTAAAACAATAAAATTATCACGACGTTTCGACTGCAACACAAGCAATCATCATCAGGTGTGAAAACCACAGCAAGAAAATTTGAAAAAAGTGGCAGGTTTTTTTTACGTTAGGACCACGGAGAGCGATTTGGCAGTTAGTCAGATGGACGAGTCCATCTATGTTCGGAAAAGAGGAGGGGGAGACGAAAATAATGGATGCGGTCTGAAAGCCACCGTAAGCGTGAACAATCAATTAAGACCCAAAATGGTTTATCAAATCCTTCCAACGATTGCTAAGCCAGAATCCATCTTCTCGGTTGAAATTGTCTCCGTGCTTGTATATGTGGATAGCCTCCTGAACGAATCTCTCATGGTAGCCATATGGCTTGCATATAACCTCTGTCTTGGAGAAGTCAATGTCATGTGAGCCTACTGAATTATAACAGTGATCTGCCATGGCTGAGGTGTTGGTCCTACCATGTTTTAGGCCTGCTTTGTGTTCACGAATGCGGTGCGAGACATGTCGTTTGGTTTTTCCAATGTAACTACTACCACAGAGGCAACTTAGTTTGTAGACGCCAGGGTACTGTATGTCCGAAATCACACCTTTTACAGACGGAACCAGATCACGGATTTTATGTAATGTGTTGAATCGGACCTGGATCTTGTGTTTATTCAAGATTTTGGAGATCTTTTTTGTGATCCCCGCAATGTAGGGTAAAGTGATGGTTTTGAAAGACACCTCAAGAGGGTCCTTCTTCATGGTTTGAGTGATAGCTTTGTGGATTGTATAGTCGGAGTAACCATTAGCCTTAAGAGCTTGGTGTACGTGCTTGAGTTCACTGGCTATGTGTTCCTGGTTGGATATGCATTGGGCTCTATGGTGCAAAGTCTTGATGAAGGAATTATTCTGGGATGGATGGTGGTGGGAATCCGGTTACAGGTAAGCATCCGTATGGGTAGCTTTCCTGTAGACAGAGTGGCTCATTGAACCATCAGGTCTATTTTTTATTAGGACATCCAAAAACGGTAGCTTGCCATCTTTTTCGACTTCCATGGTAAATCTGATGGCTGGGTGTATGGAATTAATGTGGTTGAGGAATTGGTCTAGAGCAGGCCGGCCATGTGGCCAGATGACAAAAATGTCATCCACATACCTCTTCCATAAGGTTGGGCACAGAATGGCAGTCTGGATGGCGTCAGTCTCAAAAAGAGACCTGATGGTTCAATGAGCCACTCTGTCTCCAGGAAAGCTACCCATACGGATGCTTACCTGAAACTGGATTCCCACCACCATCCATACCAAAAGAATTCCCTCATCAAGACTCTGCACCATAGAGCCCAATGCATATCCGACCAGGAACACATAGCCAGTGAACTCAAGCACGTACACCAAGCTCTTAAGGCTAATGGTTACTCCGACTATACAATCCACAAAGCTATCACTCAAACCATGAAGAAGGACCCTCTTGAGGTGTCTTTCAAAACCATCACTTTACCCTACATTGCGGGGATCACAAAAAAGATCTCCAAAATCTTGAATAAACACAAGATCCAGGTGCGATTCAACACATTACATAAAATCCGTGATCTGGTTCCGTCTGTAAAATATGTGATTCCGGACATACAGTGCCCTGGTGTCTACAAACTAAGTTGCCTCTGTGGTAGTAGTTGCATTGGAGAAACCAAACGACATCTCTCGGACCGCATTCGTGAACACAAAAGCAGACCTTAAACACGGTAGGACCAACACCTCGGCCGTGGCAGATCACTGTTATAATTCAGTAGGCTCACATGACATTGACTTTTTCAAGACAGAGGTTCTTTGCAAGCCATCTGGATACCATGAAAGATTCGTTCATCAGGCTATCCACATAGACAAACACAGAGACAATTTCAACTGAGAAGATGCATTCTGGCTTAGCAATCATTGGAAGGATTTGATCAACCATTTTGGGTCTTAATTGATTGTTTACACTTACGGTGGCTTTCAGACCGCATCCATTATATTCGTCTCCCCCCTCCTCTTTTCCGAACATAGATGGACTCGTCCATCTGAATAACTGCCAAATCGCTCCGTGGTGCTAACGTAAAAAAAAAATCCGCCACTTTTTTCAAATTTTCTTGCTGTGGTTTTCACACCTGATGATGATTGCTTGTCTTGCAGTCGATACGTCATTAGAATTTTATTGTTTTATATTTTTTTATTTCATTGTTTCCCTTCTACGTGACTTTACCGAAAGATCCAAGAATAACTAACTCTTACTTTTTTATCCTTCTGAATGTGTGAATACTTACAAATAAATTGACACGCAAGATATGAGGTGTGGATTAAATATGTATTTTTGTACAATTTTAAAAGTTTCTCAAAACTTAACGTAAGGATAATTTTAATCCGGCCGTGTCTTTAACCAAGAAAGCCTATCTTGAGTCTGAAGACTATTTTGATTCAGGAATTTCCTGCATTGGTATCTTTTGGCCAGTTTTATTCGTGAGTATTTACTGGGTGGGGGAAAAATTGGGAGCGCCCAGAGAAAACCCAGGTACACGAGGGGATTGACACTCAACACATCCCAGTACAAAACCAAGCCCAACGTTGCCTATCTTCCAAGACACGAGCAGGCACATTGAGGACGATTTGGTCACGGAATGATTGAAGTCAACCTTATAGTAGTTGTCCACTGCTTCAATGAGCAGTTGATTGTGCTAACCTCCCAACTGCAGCCATGATAACCAATTTTTTATCCGAATAAACCACCCCTCATATACAACATTATTATTACTGTGATACACACAGTACATACAAATGATGCACTCGCACGAGTGTTGACACACACATACACACGCGCGCGTGTATCGTATGACGTGTGTCTATCCTGCTCTACTGTCTGCAGGAGAGCCGAGCCCCCCCAAGGTGCACGGGAGTGTCGGCTCGACCGGGAATTCTTACGTGATTTCCTGGGTGTCGCAGGATGACGGGGGTTCCCCCATCCAGCACTACCTGGTCAAACATCGGCCGGTATGTATACATGTGTGTGTGTGTATATACATATAATTAGATATGTGGGGAACGGCAGTGTAGTGGCTAGCGTACTGAATTACGAGCCCAGCGAGTGGAGTTCTATTCTCTCACCCGGCCAACGTCAGCTACGCACATCTTAACTAGTCCAGGGCATCTCCTAGGTCGATCCAGCCTAAGATTTGTGTTTGGTGGGGTGTGAAAACGTCACTACTGGGGAGACAAAGGTGGCCAGGCATGGTGCTGGCCACTCACCCCCCTACTGCTTCGTGCCAGCCTTCACAGGTACTTGTGAGCAGCACTTGCCCCAACAGCTTGTTAAGGCTGTAGTGAGATCTTTGTGTTTGGGCACATGCATATGTGCTGGTATCGCATGTGTGGACCTGCCAACAACTGGCTATGGTGATGTCAAGATCACCCTCTGGGCAGTTGTAGGCAGTCTCCCTCAAGCAACAAAGAAGGACATATGAGCGCTACGGTGGAGAGATGTTAACTACCTTGCCTGGTATACAGGAGGTTGTGGGTTCGATCCCGACCCTGACGAAGCCTTATAATTGGAGTTTGCGTGTATTCCCCATGGTCACGTAGATTTTTATCTGGGTCCTCCGGTGTTTCCCTCCACATTTAGAATCAACATCACACGTTTAGAGTATTTGGCTGCTATACATTGCCACATGATAAGCCACTTCATTGGGCTATCACTTGCGGCTAGGTCGCTTCTGAAAAAGAGCTATTTCGGTCAGTGGGCCCTACCTGGTAAAACAAATAAAATATAGTTTAGTTTAATGAGCAGATCACCAGGCAGCTAAAACACAGCAAGGAGCGGCAGTTAGTGCACCTACCATTGATTTCAGTCATTTATCCATGTAATAATAATTAAAATGTATAATTCTCAGAGCACTTGGGCCTGTCTCATGACCTCCTGCCAATGAGCCTTTGGCACTTCTCGTGAACTGGCACAAAGCACCATGTGACTTCACCACCACCAAGTGGCACAATCACGGGCGGCTGTAACCTTTGATTCGAACCCATGGTCTCAGTTGTGCTGGCTCAGAACTCTGACCCATTATTTAGGCCAGAGGAATCCCATGAGCTACGAAGATGTTTTTCACAGATGTCCAGCAGATGAACTGCTCGGCCACCCCTGCGTCTCACTTATTTTAACGATGGACTCGGAGTCACCCCATCAGATTAAAACCAAAAAAATTGTCCCATTGCTGATAGCTTGCGCACATTAAAGCTGACGCATCAGGCGGCAACGAAATCGCCCGCGCTCAGCAGCATGCTCGGTCGCCCGTCTCTCCATTGCGAATGTTCATTCACTGCACGAGGCCGAGTTGCCTTAGGGGAAGCCAACGGTATGGATGATGTGGAATTGCTCCAAGATAACCAGAATCCAGTCGGTGGAATAATCAATATGCCTCCTCTCCTCGCATGTGCATACAAAAAAAAGACAAAGATCTCCTCCAATTTGGTCATATTGAACTAAACTAACCAATTTTTTATTTTATCAGGTAAGGTCCACTGAGCTATATAGCTCTTTATCAGAAACGACCTGGCCACAAATGATAGCTCAACGAAGTGGCTTATGATGTGGAAATTTATCGCAGCCAAATACTCTAGACGCACATTTCTAAATTGAGGAGGGAAAAACCTGAGGACCCGGAGAAAAATCCACGCGGCCACGGGGAGAGAGGCACGCAAACTACAAATATACGGCAGACGTCGGGGTCGGGATCGAACCCACGACCTCCCGCATGCCGGGCGAGGGAGATAACATCCGATCAGGGTTAGCGTTCCGGAGTGACGGACGCCGGTTCTCGCAGGTGGACGGCAGCGCCGAGTGGCTGGAGCAGCGGGCCCCGTCCACCAGCAAGCACGCCATGCTATCGTCGCTCAAGTGGAACACGGAGTACGAGGTGCACGTCAGGGCCATCAACAAGGAGGGCGACTCCGACCCGGCCGAGCACCGGTTCACCACCCAACCCAAGCCGACCGCCAACGCAGGTACGGGCCGCGCGTGGCGTAACGGGCGAGTCAGACCGTCGTCCGCTGAGAGGGGGCGATGGGCTCGAGCGTGCCTGCAATCGCGGCTCGATAGCGGAAGCTCATGCATTGCCACGGCGCGCACATGAGGTTGAGGTTGCGCCAGTGAGACGACCGTAGGTTAACGTTCCCACGCCGAGTGTTAGCAGCCTGGCCGTGGGCTTACGACCTGCTTTTCCCCCCCCACCCCCCCCCCCCCCCCCCCCGCTGTAAATTGGACCCAATCTCCATTCAATGTGAAAAGCAAATCATGCATCATAAGTACTCCTGCTTTTGTTTCGTGAGTTTAAATTGCTGTCATTACACACGTTGAAATCCTCGGCATTACCAATTGAACAAATGTTTCGGGATATTTTTTTTTCTCCTTTCACAAAACGGTGTGTTCTAATGATCGGTATATTTCAATGTGCACTGTCGCGCTTAAAATCAAAGGGAGATCGGCAAAGCTGTTTAAATAAGGAGACAAAAAAGCTACGCAGCCAATTTATTTCACCTGCATTGAAAAGACGCGTATAGACGCATGTGCTGTGCGCGCATGTGCTGTGTGTGTGCATGTGGCTATGTGTGTGCGTGTGGCTATGTGTGTGCGTGTGGCTGTGTGTGTGCGTGTGTGATAGTGCAGGCATTAGCCTTCTTAGATGCTCGCTAACATTACTTGTCCCAAAAGTATATTTAGGCTATACCGGGCGGGCGGGCGGGCGGGGGGGGGGTCTTTGTGTGTGTATATACACGTGCTACGAAACCTTGTTTATTCACACTAATTATAATCCAGGAATGTTCTGAAATGCAGGCAATTGAACACAATGTCCCCTCTGCCTGCAAATGCATTGAACAATATCTGCACAAGGACAGTCACATGATTGTGGAAATAATGATGACCACGTTTAATAAGATAGCTCAGAGGAATGGTAATGAGACACAACTCATCATTAATTACTGAATGTGCATCCAAGAAGACTCAAAAGGACATTTTGAAAAATTAATAACATGAATGTTTATTTCATTTCTGTGGTCTTTTTTTCCAAATGTTATTCCGAACGTGCTATTGGCATAATGGTATGAGACAAAGACTCCATTGGCATCACCACCCGGTGTGTTAGAGAATGGTCTGCAGAAGGAGATGTAACTGAACTATTTCTTGACATCCCTTCATGCACCAGGAGGTCACACTTTCCTGCATACCCTGCTACTGAAAAATGTTGGTTGTATGGAAGTCAAAACATCTTCTTTGGTTCTTTCGGTACAGTCACGTAGAATGAGAATAAAATAATAAATTGATCAAATAAAATAACACAATAAAATTCTCACGACGTTTCGGCCACAGCACAAGCGGCCTTCATCAGGTGAAGGGACGAGACTGTCTGGAGGACAGCGCCGGAGCGAACACAGCCAAGCTTAAAGGTCACGGTCTGGGCTTGGCTGTGTTCGCTCCAGCGCTGTCCTCCAGACAGTCTCGTCCCTTCACCTGATGAAGGCCGCTTGTGTTGTGGCCGAAACGTCGTGAGAATTTTATTGTGTTATTTTATTTTATCAATTTATTATTTTATTCTCATTCTACGTGACTTTACCGAAAGAACCAAAGAAGATTAATCCTTGCAGTCACGAAAGCTTTAAATCGAAGTCAAAACAATTATATACTTGGAAAATTCACAGAGATGGAATTTGTCCAAATTATTATTTGATATGAGGTTTTTGTTATTATTGTGCAGTGATTGGTTACCGGTCTGAGACTATTAACTAGCAACAACTGAAAACCCAGTGTAATCATGGGTGGCTGAAACCAGAATTTGAAACTAGGCTCTCACAGGACCTGTCTCAGCGCCCTGACCCCTAAGTTGCACGGTCACCTCGAAATAATATATTATATTTGTATATAACGTTGAGAAACGTTATATACGTATATAAAGTTGGTGATATTGCACTCATTGGAGTAAAATTGGTGAAATTTCACTCATTTGAGTATAGGGGCAATGCTCATCTGCCCTTTACAGCCCTAAGTCAATGGTGGAAATTCCACATTCCCATGGCACGGGTAAGCCTATCCATAGTACAACCGCTATTGACTTCCCACCAAGTGGCACGCACATTACACCCCCCCCCCTCCTCCCAAGCTGAACATCCTAGACTGTGATTGGGAACTCGCAACCTTCCATATAGTGAAGCCGCTTGTTCCAACCACCTTTTGTCTTTTTTTAAGTAAAAAAAGACAAAAGGAATAACAATGGAGCCTGTATGTAATCAGAATACCCAGCGCATAACACCCATTGATTCCCCCCCCACCCTACCTTGCATGAGTGGATAATTGACGAGCGGATAAACAAGGTTTCCCGTGTATACTTAGAACAGCCGGCTTACCGTGCTGCCTTTCCAATGCTGATTAGGCAGCTGATTATGCCGGAACATGGGGTCCAAGTGTCTCTTGAGGCCACATCTGTCGTGCAAAATTTGGACACTCGTGCCGTGGGTGCCGGTGCTCGTGGGTGATGGTCGCGCCATCTGGAGCTCTACCATGGCACCTGTACCCTGCAATTGCAATCCTCTAATCAGTTTCAGTGAATAAAACAAAACTGTTTCCCAGAATTTGTACACGTCGCTCTATGTGTGCTTCGGACACTTTTTCTGTTAAGTGTATTGCCTGCAGTGTTTATACGAACGCATTAGAATGTATGTGTTTATTATGTACGCACATACATACACACATGGGTAGATACAAATACGCATACATATATACAACACGCATGCATATACACATGCATATATATGATCGTATATGGTGGTAACAATCAGAAAATCGTGAACATAATTATAACTTGCACTGCCTTTATGTTGTGCATTTTTTTAAATTAAATATATCAAAATAACTTTTTTTTCTCTATATGTATGTCCTTTTTACGTGTTGGGCTACAGTCTAAAATTAGACATCTAATTTAAAAAAAACAATCTTGATTACTATTCTGTCAGTGAACTATAATACCACCCTCGCACATCGAACACATCATGCATGCATAATCACATGCGCACATGTGTATATATGCATACACAGCAATGTGTATTGTGCTCTCATGGCTCTGTATATGAACCTTTCATATATTTACATATTCGTCTATTTACATACCCATGTATTTACATATTCATGTATTTACGTGTGTATGTACATACACGCACCCACATCTAATAGTACTGTTGGAATACCGTAGATGTCATCAGCTCCCTCGGCACTGGGTTAGATTCTTGGCCAAGGTGGTGCGTTTGAAACCGGCGGACAAGCCACGTCATCCACCGTTGTTTCCGCCTCCCTCGGCAGTAGAACAAAAAATTGAGAAGCGCGTGATGGTTTGCGGTGGGGTATAATGGTGGGTTACCCAACAGCTGCTATTCTAATCCGTGAGTCCAATTGGGGAAACATGTCCTTCAGGAGGAGGACTCAATTCTCTCGGCGTCGTCCGATCGCCGCGTACGCAGCTCACCCAGACCGGGGTGAGCACTCGCGCTGCGAGCCGGCGGCATCATTGGCCATTGGCGATCGTCCGCTCTCGTGCGGCAAAAAGTGCTCTCGACCTGATCACGAACACGTTCAGTCGCTCCCAAGCGGAGTCAGCGGTAGGGGTGGATCGATTGAACCGTTTGTTGATTGGGATCCAAGCCCGGCCGCCCTTGCCCACTGCGTTACCCCGAGAGAAACGTGAACAGGTAGCTGCTTTGTTTTGTTCCACTCCCCGTACTCCTGGCCGCATAAGGCGTTTTATTTAGATCCGTGCCTTATTAAATGTTTTAACCTTCTCTCTTAAAAAAAAATACATCTTTACAAATGCATTTTGTCTCTCTGAAATACCCATTTGTTTTCATAGTGTGTTCTGTGCAAATTCAACTGTCTATTTTTTTCATTTAAAGCATTTACTTACAATATTTCTGTTTTTCCTTTTCTCTTTTTCTCGTTTTATTTTCCCCCCCTCTCTCTCTCTCGTTCCCTTTCCCCTCGACCAACCCCCGTTGACCGCTTCACCGCAAATCTCCGTTTTGCCTAACACTACCCATCCCATTAACACGGCAACAACTCTGCGGCGGTCGCGACAACCCCGCCAAACGGAAATGCTGCGCACGTGGCATTTCTTTCATCCCACCTCACTCCCTCCCCCCTCCCCCGCTCCCTCCCCCCGTTTGCGTTTCTCTTTTTGTTGAACTCGTGCACAACGCGCACGCGCGCAACACGCATGCGGCTGTCACGTTCACACTCGCGGCATGGCGACGAATGAATTGCACCACGAATGCAGACTTGCCGGGCTCGTTCGCTCCGATTCAGCCGGCAATTTTGCTCACTTTGCTAATGGCTGCCTTCACTGCCATGCTTACCGCTGCCTAGCCAGGGACAAAAGAAAAATCATCAACACCTAGCAACGATGTCACTTTCTTTATAATGTTTTTGCTATGGTGGTAATTAATATTTCATTTTGTTGTTGTTGCTATTACTGTTCTCGTTATTAATAAAGATTTGTATTTAATAGATATACCATTATCTGCATTAGATAGTAGCAGTAATAATAATTACACAGTGTAAAATTCCACGTGGAATATTTTGAGTTTGCATGCAAATCAATACACTTCACCGCCAACGAATTGTAACATAATAATGATGACTATTCAATAGTTTGAAAACGGATTTTTGATTTTCCACAGGCTACTTTTTAACTTAATTTCCCGACATGTGGCGGGATATTTTTTTGCGGCATTTGTCACATTTCGGCAAATAAATCTCGGCAGATGTCTCAAGCGGTGACGCCATGTGAGTTCGAACGACGTTGGGCTTTCAAGAGCCCTTTACCTCGGCGTCTGCCTCGTAAGCACGTCAGTGTGAACATTGGGATTCCAGAATGATAAACAAATGCATAAATCAATTCGAAGGTTTGCTCGATCAAATTAATTGGGCTATCAGTGCATGCGACGCCAGTTTAATGCCGACTAAC